CCTACATTGGCTCCCAGTACGTTTCCGAGCACAATTCAAAGTGCTGGTGTTGACCTTTAAAGCCCTAAACGGCCTCGGCCCAGTATACCTGAAGGAGCGTCTCCACCCCCATCGTTCTGCCCAGATGCTGAGGTCCAGCGCCGAGGGCCTTCTGGCGGTTCCCTCACTGCGAGAAGCAAAGCTACAGGGAACCAGGCAGAGGGCCTTCTCGGTAGTGGCGCCCGCCCTGTGGAACGCCCTCCCATCAGATGTGAAGGAATTAAGCAGCTATCTTCTCTTTAAAAGACATCTGAAGGCAGCCCTGTTTAGGGAAGTTTTTAATATTTAATGCTGTATTGTTTTTAACACTTGATTGGAAGCCGCCTAGAGTGGCTGGGGAAACTCAGCCAGATGGGTGGGGTATAAATAATAAATTATTATTATTATTATTATTATTATTATTAATCATCATCTAAAGACCACAGGGTGGTTCGCAACATAAAATGCAAAATGAAGACAAAATAAAGCAAAAACAGCCAATAACCGTATCCCACAGACACATTTAAAGGGTCACAGAATGTTAACCAGCCAAAGGCCCAGGGGAAGAGGAATTTTTTTGCCTGGCACCTAAAAATATGTAACGAAGGGGCCAGGAAAGTCTTCCTGAGGAGAGCATTCCATAAATGGGGAGCCATCTCAAAAAATGCCCGTTCCTGTGTTGCCACCTTCCAGACCTCTCGCTGGGGAAGCACACGAAGAAGGGCCTCAGATGATATCTCAGGGTCTGGATCACTTGATATGGCACTGGCATGTGTCAACGATGATGTCATGGATAGAATGTTTCATATCACATGTCATCTCAATCGCCCCGCCAAACATTGTTCAAACATTCAGCTGCAACTTGCCAGGTAGCAAGGACTCAAATAATGTACTTGCCAGTATGAATCAGCTGTTAAGAATGACTGTATTCAAGCAACTTTTATCTATCAGCTAAGCTTATATCAACTTCAAGATAAGGTTGCCCTTGTATAGTAAAGGTTAAAGGGACCCCTGACCATTAGGTCCAGTCGTGACCGACTCTGGGGTTGCGGCGCTCATCTCGCTTTATTGGCCGAGGGAACCGGCGTACAGTTTCCAGGTCATGTGGCCAGCACGACTAAGCCGCTTCTGGCGAACCAGAGCAGTGCACGGAAACACCGTTTACCTTCCCACTGGAGCGGTACCTATTTATCTACTTGCACTTTGATGTGCTTTCGAACTGCTAGGTTGGCAGGAGCAGGGGATTCGAACCGCCAACCTTCTGATCGGCAAGTCCTAGGCTCTGTGGTTTAACCCACAGCACCACCCGCGTCCCTGTTGCCCTAGTATACATTCCACATAAATAAATAAATGTACCCAAGTGCAAGGCTCCATCCAGTAGCGGCATCCATGACAAGGAGCTGTGAAACTGCAGGTGTAAAGTAATTGAGAGAGAGACATACGTTCAAGGCAAGGCTGGACCTATGGAATCATTTTCCTTTTACTGGTCTCTTGTGTCAGCAAGAGAAACATGATGGCACAGAAGTGTTTCCCACTCAAGACTCCAGCTGCCCAGCATTCCTTCCTTAAAGTACAACTGAGAGCAGGCATAGGAAGTAATTCTTCTCGCCATCAGGGCTTTTTTCAGCTGGAACTCACCTGAACTCAGGTGGGTGCCGTTGCCATTCTAAGAGAACGAGAGAGGCGTCCGTGGTGAGTTCTAGCCCCTCCTTGTAGAAAAATAGCACTGCCCACAAGGCATTAAAAAAGTTGTGGAATTAAGAGGTGCAAGATGCAGTGAAGGACAAGCACTGAAAAGGGAGGCAGAATGAGGTCAGCTAGGCAGAAAATCAGCTAGACAAGAAATGCCCCCCAAAATATACGGTAGGGAACAAAATCCTAGAATTGCATGAACACAGCGCAATTAGAACATATAGATGTAAAGAGTAATCTGTAAGGAAAGTAACAGGTACAAAAGACAGAAAAGATGCTGGACATCTAAATGCCGAATAAACATCCAGCACATTACCAGAAATACCAAAATCTTCAGCCCAGCATGAATGTAAAGTTGCTGGAAAGTCCATTAATGCAGAGATCGCTTCATATTCTGAACAAATCCCCACGGGAGGCTGGTCCATTGATTTATTTCGGACAATCTTATTCATAGGAAAGATAGCAGCAGGAAAACATCCATTTGTAAATCAATTGTGATGTACTGGACCTTAATAGTTTATATATTGCGAAACTGCAAAATTCTACTGGTAGAGAGGCTTTAGCATGGATCTAAGATAAACTGATGGGTTGACTTTTGAATGAAACACACCTTCTTGCAACTAACACACAGCACAAGTTCAAGTGGGGAGGATCTATAGAGTTGTAACTTTCGTTAGTCCTACTCAGAGTTGAGCCACTGAAATTAATGGGCATGACTAACAGGTTCATTAATTCCAACAGGGCCTACTCTGAGGAGGTCTTAGATGAATGCAAGCCTGTAATTCCCCGAGTCCAGCTACAACCAATTAGAATACAAATCACCAACATTCACAAAGGACAGAATGTATATTTTATACAGGCGTTCCCCCCACCACTTACGCACATTTGACTCATATGCGACTGCATATATGCTCAGCACCGGGAAATAAAATTAATAGATTCAAACCAGGAAATAGCGGAAGATCTGGGGAGTCCATATGGCTCATGAGGAGACCCTCTCTGGAGCTTGAAGATCTCAGTGTGGGTCGAGGAAGCCCCAAAGAGGCACAGCAGGGCTTTGTTTAGGGCCAGTGGTGTCCAAACTTTTGATGAAGTGAAGGGCTGTAAGGGCCGACCCAAGTTGTTAACCTTTTTTTTAGGATTGAAGTTGTTGAGTTTTATGATTTTACCCCAAAGTTGTTGAGCTTTTTTAGGGTTGAAGTTGTTTAGTTTTAGGATTGAAGTTTGTTGAGGTATTTTGGGACACAGGGGACGGATTAAACCAACCAGCGGGGGGCCGGATTACGCCCCCAGAATGGACTTTGGACATGCCTGGTTTAGACTGCTCAGCCTCCCCATCTAGCAGCTGATGCAACAGCAATGTTTCCACATATTCTCCAACCTCCACTCAGCCCCAGAGCTTCAACTCTAGTTGAAGAGAGAGTTGTGTGGAGAGAAAGCAGGAGAGAGAGCTGGAAAGCAGGGGGGGAGGCACCCCCCCCAATACACCCATGTACAGCCCACGTCTTCAGCGCCTGCATGGGCAGCATGTTGAAAGCACTTTCTCCAACTTTCCGATCACAGGAACGCAGGAACAGCAGCACAGCATTCCCGAGGAATAGGTCCTGGTGCAGTGGACTCACATTTGCTGATGTGAGCACCTCAAAACCAGCCGAGTAACAAAAGCAAAGTTGTGGAGGTTTTGTGGCATACCTAATTTATTTCTACTGATTAAACAAATAAAAGACCGTTACAAACATGCACGAGAGAAGCAGCTCTCTCATACTGCCATCTTGTCTCTAGACAGATCAAAGAAAACCCACCACACTACTAGGGACGGAAGTCTGGAAGAGTAGTTTCCGCCCCTTCCTTTCGCTCAGACAGGAAGTAAAACAAACATGATCTGGTGATCTTTGCAGTGGGAGGGAGGAAAATACTGACACACCCCACTTATATGATGATTTTCACTTATGCGCATAAACGTAACCTCTGCTTAATGGGGGGGGAGTCTGTAATTGGGTGGCGCTGTGGGTTAAACCACAGAGACTAGGGCTTGCTGATCAGAAGGTCAGCGGTTCAAATCCCCGCGACGGGGTGAGCTCCCGTTGCTCGGTCCCTGCTCCTGCCAACCTAGCAGTTCGAAAGCATGTCGAAGTGCAAGTAGATAAATAGGTACCACTCCAGCGGGAAGGTAAACGGTGTTTCCGTGCACTGCTCTGGTTCGCCAGAAGCGGCTTAGTCATGCTGGCCACATGACCCGGAAGCTGTACGCCGGCTCCCTTGGCCAGTAAAGCGAGATGAGCGCCGCAACCCCAGAGTTGGCCATGACTGGACCTAATGGTCAGGGGTCCCTTTACCCTTTACCTGTATATTCAGTGGGTTGCTCTTAGAAGTCGTGAGACAGCAGTGCAGGTCTGCTATCAGCACCATTTTGAATAAATATGTCCGCTATACATAGCACGTTTGGGGTTTTTCTTGTGCAGCTAATCATTCTTACAATGGGTAAATCCATTTGGGAGTGATGCCCCAGTCTCCCAGCAGGGTTTTAGGCAGAACATTAAGAGATGTCATCAGCACCGATGGTTCATGAGCAACTTTATACCCATGCTGGGCAGCGGGTGTTGATATTTCTAATCACGTCCTGCATGTATAATTTGGCTCACTTCAGCATTTTCCATCTGTCATTTGTACAGGCTAGTTGTAGGTCCACATCACCACTGTAGTCCAATTATGCTGTGTCAATATTTGTTACACAGTTTAGTATTAATTTTGTTGCCTTCCAGTTATTTGTTTTGGGGTGGATTTCTTGTGCTTCCTTTAAAAAAAAAAGAAAAGACAAATCCACTGAGTATAGGTCTATTAAAAGCTTCTAGCTATTCCATGATCCGCTTGTATCTTCTTCACTTTCACATTATTCCCTAAAATCTTTTTCTCGTGTTTTTTTTCCTGATGAACTGACTGTGGATTTCTGCTCCTTTGTCATCTGCATTTACTTCATCTGTAACTTAGAAGGCTGTTTGCCTGATGAGATCTAGTCCATTCATTCCCTTCCAGCCATTAAATAAGGATTTGAATATATATGTTATTGCATATTTGGTCTGTGGGAATACGGCCTTCCCTTCCCCCTGTGCTTCTGACATGGAACGAAGATGCATTTTTGTGAGGGGAAAAGGGAAACGGAGCTGCAAATATATGTACAGTACTGGCGTAGAAACTTCAAGGAGGGAAGCGTACCAAGATGGATTCCAAAAACCAGCCAAGCTGTGCTCAAGATGACAACATGCTTAAAAACAGCACAATCAAGAGCCAAATTAGTCAAAAGAAAAACAAACAAACTTTATTCAGAACAGGAGAAATAACTCGTGTACAGAACACACACAAACAGGAAATTAAAACATGGACTAATCAGAAGTCAACAGAAGCTGAAAACAAGGGAACTCTGCCAACGCTGAAATTCTCATTGTAGTGACTCTTGCAAGTGCCTTCAATTTCTGCCCTGGACTTGGAATATTTCTTTCCTCTGCCTAGACAGTCTCCTCATTGCCCACTTCAATCCTGAAAGCTATCCTTTCAGGCCTAGCAGTATTCCTTGTCCTTTCGGCTTCCTGACTGGAAGACTCTCCCACACCTTCCCAATTCTGAGGTTGAAATTCCATGCGCGATGACCCAGGAGTGAGCTCTACTGAACACAGGGGAACTTCTGAGCAAACATTCATAGGCTTGGGGTGAAAGTCAACCCAAAGATTAACCCACGTTTCAATTTTACAAAGTTGGTGTCTTAAGGAACAAGAATGCTTTAAAACTATTAAATGCTAATTCAGTTTGTTATCAAAGAACTAGAAGTAACAGTCTTCTGGCATTTCAGCCTGGAAACATCTAAACACACACTCAACTCACTCCTTCAAAGCTTGCAGATTTAGACTTTTCTCCATTACCATTAAGCTGCTACCAACACAACCACCCAAAATCAGAATTCTAAATTTCTGGATATTCTCTTCACCACTCATTCTTTCTTTCAATACCAAAGTTAATTTTGATTCCATGGTGGACTTCAAGTAAGTAATAAACTTGCAGCAAGTCGCCAAGATGCACTGCATCAGCCCCACCTCTTTCTTTAAAAAGTATTTGTTTTTAACCTCATGGTTTCCGTGTCTATTTCCAGAATGCTTTGTAACAGGAAATATCATCATCATCAATCTTTATTACGGTCCAGAGACGCAACAAATCATTACAAAGCAATATACAATTCATACAGCCTACCTCCAGGTTAAACAACCATTTTGTTCAGAATATAGGGATTATTTGTTCTTGCAACCACCGATGAAAACTTTGCTACTGCTAATGTTCTAGCATTTGTCCGGTCTTCCAATAGGAACCTGACATAGTGAGCCTCTGATTTTCCTGGGAAAGGTACCAGCAAGGGTAGTATCAGTTCAGCCCTAGCTTGCTCATATTTTGCACAATGCAACAAAATATGTTTTATTGAATCGATGTCTTGAGCACACAAGCAAAGTCTGTCCTGGTAGGGAACTCCTCTCAACCTGCCATCCATAGCCTTCGATAGTTTGGTACTGTCAGGTTTTTAAGGTAAGATGTTAACTTAAAGACATACCCATATTGTACTCCTACTGCCAGCAGGAAATATATGATTTAGGGCTAGTTTGAACTGCTCCTCCCAAAAAAAAAAAGAGGGGCGGGAGGGATTATCTACGCAGAGAACTAGATTGCCACAGAATATGGGTTCAGTTTAAGTACCATGTCTAGGAAAAGCGCTCTCTGTGTGTGTGTGTGTGTGTGTGTGTGTATTCCTTGGGGGAGAATGCATACAAATATGCCGTTTTCTCTCAACGCACAGATGCAAACAGCTGCACCCCGATGTTCCTGAGTCCAGAAGAAGAAAAAAACATTTGCTACATGAGTCTGATTGTACAAACTGGCCAAATCAACGGGCCTCGTATCGTACCGCAGGGAGGCAAACTTTCCCATTAAAATGAATCTTTTCAAACCAGCAGGGAATTTGAGCTACAATGCATTACCTAATTAAGCAAATGGACACCGGATAAAGGTCAATTCTTAGAACAATCTTGAGCTGAAAGATTTACATGGGATCTTGGGTTATGACCTGAAGAACTGGCACAGCTACCCGCCTGAATGTCAAGTGGCCAGGGGTTGTGTGTGTGTGTGTGTGTGTGTGTCTCAGAGAAGCAGTTGTGGCTCCAAACTAGTAGAAATCCTTCAGCAGAGACAATTGTATACAGTAAGCATGCCTATCTGGCTTTGCAGCAAATTCAAAGTTGCCGTTTCCTGCTTCCCAAAAGAATCTCCTTGTTAGACCAAAATCCTGACAGATGTGTTACAAACCTCTTGGGGAGCAAGCTGCTTTTGAACAGTAGCAGGTCTCATGAGCACAGAAGCTAGTTAAAACATCAACACTTCTTTTCTGACATTCATCATAAAGCAAAGCCCATCCAACAGATATGTTAGCTGAGAAGAGAGATGAATTCTAATGGAAAAAACCTAACATGCTGCACATACTGTAGTTTATGCCATGGTTTGTTTTCCTTAACAATGGTTAATACTGGCCATAAACCATGGTTTCATGTGGGCATGCAAACCATAGGTAAAGAATAGGATCTACACCAAACCAACAATGATTAAGGCAGTTTCTCTGCCCCTCCAGCTTCTCTGCTTGCAACGTGGCAAGCGGCTGTCACACCCTATGGGGACAGACCTCAGCTTGACAAGCCAAACTACCATTTTACTGTATTTTTAGGGTCTCGCTCAGAATTAAGACAACAAACCACATTTAGCACAAAGGATGGTTGAACAATACATCCACGCGTGACCTATCTGGAGAACAAAAGAAATATAACTTTCTTTGGGAGTTGCCATGGAAAGGTCACTTAGCACTGTGCTGTCCACTACAGCCTAACAGACAGCACACAATATGCAGCAGAAATCTAGACTTGCATGAGAAGTACAGTTCATGCCTTTAAGATCTAAAGTTGGATACGCAAAGAAGCATGTATGTACGACAAAATACTTTTGCAGTGCTGTGTTAAAGCATAAAAGCCCCAGCCAACTATTTTTTTCATGATCACTGTGGGTGTTCCCCCTTTATTTCTTGTAATTTCATCTGTACATCAAATTATTTAGGAAAGAGACAAGCCTGTCTATGTTGCTGTGTAAAGCATCAAGTGCACAGATGCTGCTAAAGCAAAAATCATTAAAATTAGTATATGTTGGTACTTAAGTGAAATTGGCTGGGATACGCAACTGCAGCCAATTCCAGCTCCCTGCCATGTCTACTGGACTGAGATGTGCTTTTGTGAACACATTTGTTGAATTTGCACCTTTATATTTTTTACATACTTAGAAAACATCTTAATGCATACAAATTGAAATCTACTGTGCAATGAGGCCTTAAGCAAAATAATAAGATGCCTTCACTAATTGCTTCTTAATCCATTTTTGGAGTCCTAATCTTTCCTGGCAAATGGACATAGGAGCCACTATGAAATCAAAGGTTCCTTTTTGGTTTTCTCCATACCCATGCAAAGACACGACACAAGATCATTTACTTGACGCGCTCAAAACTTTCAGAAACAATGACTGGTAATTACTAGGCAAGAGTCCTCTATGGAGATGAAAAGGGAATGTACTAATCTGGGTATGCTTACCCTGGAGAAGAGGAGACTGAGAAGAGATGCGATAGCCATTTACAAATATTTTAAGGGCTGTCACATGGAAGAGGGAACAAGCTTTTCTTCTGCTCTCGAAGGTAGGACTCGAACCAATGGCTTCAAGTTACAAGAAAGGAGATTCCGACTAAATATACGGAAAAACTTTCTGACAGTAAGAGCTGTTCAACAGTGGAACAGTCTTCCTCAGGAAGTTGTGGAGTCTCCTTCCTTGGAGGGTTTCAAGCAGAAGTTAGATGGCCATCTGTCATCTTTAGCTGAGATTCCTGTATTACATGGGGTTGACTAGCCTTTCCAACTCCACGGTTCTATGATTCTAATAATGTCTTGTGCCACTCTGATAATGCTTGACCTAAGAAGTCAGATATTTTTTGCTCTAGGTCATTCTGTTAGATAGAAAAGCAGTTCAATTGTTTGGTTCAACCATCACATTCCTGGATTGGGGAATGCACCACGTCCCTGTGTGGTTCCTCCCTTCCTCACATGCCCATCTTAGTACAAGAGTTACTGGCTTGCTATAACACCTTACTGGGAAACTGGTGATTAAAAAGGTAAAGGGACCCCTGACCATTAGGTCCAGTCGTGGCTGACTCTGGGGTTGCGGCACTCATCTCGCTTTATTGGCCGAGGGAGCCGGCGTTTGTCCACAGACAGTTTCCAGGTCATGTGGCCAGCATGACTAAGCCGCTTCTGGTGAACCAGAGCAGCGCACGGAAACGCCGTTTACCTTCCCGCCGGAGTGGTACCTATTTATCTGCTTGCACATTGACGTGCTTTCGAACTGCTAGGTTGGCAGGAGCAGGGACCGAGCAACGGGAACTCACCCCATCGCGGGGATTCGAACCACCAACCTTCTGTCCTAGGCTCTGTGGTTTAACCCACAGCGCCACCCGCGTCCCTTGGTGTGATTACCCACCCCCTTACAAATCATGAGGTAATCCTGGCTTGCAGTATCAGTTTGCAGGTTTCCACCTGGGATGTCGAATGGGAAGTGCAATATCTGAATTGAGTCAGTGTGTGAGATAGGCAGTCATGGCCTCCGTTTTATGAGAGGCTGTGAGGGAAGGTTTTAAAACATGTATACACCGCATTCAAGTTGCATTTTAAACCAGGGTCATAGCCAAACTGGAGGTGATGGGGGAAGATCTGTGATCAGAGTTCTAGAATTGGATCAGGCTCCGATACGGGAGAAGGCAAAGTCAATCCTTCCAAGTCATTTTCCTCATCAAAAGTACATGTGTAAGTTGTCATTTGCCCTGTGAAGAAAAAGATATAGCTACCTATACAGAGGCCACCCCAGCAAAGCAAAGGGAAACACACTGGGAATTAAAGCCTCTTCCCCGGGCCCAGTCTAGTTGAGCGTGCAAAGTTGCAGAATTGGAATAAAGCTGAAAAACGCCAGGAGATCCAGATTCAGATCTCCTGCATCTCATCTAGTTTGGCCCTGAGAGACTCTTTGTTATTGAAACTAAAACAAGATTATTATCTAACCTATTAAAAATCACTGCCTGAAAAACTGCCACCCTATCTTAAATATTAGCATATATACAGGCCAGAGTGGTTGCTCAGATAAACTCCAACTGTGTTTACATGTGGCATGATTCGAATGTTTCTTATAAGCTATTTTTTCTTATTGGAAAAAGATTCAATTGTTCATTTACCCTGGAGCTGTAATTCGCCAAATTGTACACTGGGGCACATTAGCTTGTTGCACTAGAAATATAAGTATTAAAATTTTAAAGAAACCAATCAAAGACTCCTGTAAGCCCATGTCACGGCATGCAGGTAAGCTCCAGGTGTGAGCACCCACCCCCTGCTTCCAGCAGAGGGACCTCTGACAACGGCCTCCCTCCCTGTACAGAGCAAAACTGCCTGTCCTCAGAGGAGTCTGCTCATTGCACCTCCAGTTTCTCCTCCTTTCAATTGGGGCTGAACCGGAACAGTGACTCACACTGAGATTCAGGGAGAGAGGGCCTGCTCCTCCAAGCAATTCCACTTGGAAAACACCGCCTAGAAATATAGTGAGAAAATTTCTTTTTTTAAACGTAGGAAAAAATATTAGCATTGCTGTTTGCCAGAGCAGCTGCATTATTTGCTCTGCTCCTGCTTGCTATTCCAAGAGTTTGCAATAACATGTAAATAATCAAATGCTTTCAGAACCGTGCAGCTAAAAACAATAAGAGATCAACAGCTGCAAATGCAGAGATGCTGCTTAAATCCCATTGTTAGTGCTTCTGCGGTCCTTGCTTGCATCTCTGTAGGAAGGAATGAAAACACCTTGTAAATCACCACTGCTCACAGCACAAAGCATTCTGTCCTTCCACGGCACGGGAGAAGGAAAGTACCGTATTTTTCGCTCTATAAGACGCACCAGACCACAAGACGCACCTAGTTTTTGGAGGAGGAAAACAAGAAAAAAAATATTCTGAATCTCAGAAGCCAGAACAGCAAGGGGGATCGCTGTGCAGTGAAAGCAGCAATCCCTCTTGCTGTTCTGGCTTCTGGGATAGCTGCGCAGCCTGCATTTGCTCCATAAAACGCATACACATTTCCCCTTTTCTTTTTAGGAGGGAAAAAGCGAGTCTTATAGAGCAAAAAAATATGGTATACCTCATCTAGATGTTTAGATCTGACACCATTTCACCAAACGCAAGAAGCTTGAATAATATGGGGCTTGCTTGGATAATACTTGAGTGCGTAACTTGAGAATGTGAACGAGCTTTGGCCTGACACACTATAAACAGAGAATATGAAGTTTGGGCCAGGCTCTATTGTGCCTCTGGGCTTTTCCTGCCTCCATGATCTGAGAATGAGTCGCAGGGTAAGTACAGGCAGATAAATGCATCATACCCCCCATCTAACATCATGTGATTAAGCACCCACAACCAGCTCCCACTCACCCCACAAGGGCTGGATTCTCAGAAAGGCAGCCTCTGAACACATGCTAATACCAAAAAATAAGGTCTCACCCAGGAGAGTTAAAGTTAGCATAAATAAATATAACTCTTCTTTTTTTAAAACATAGATTTTGCATTTCTTAAGCAAAGCTTTCTGTCAGCTGCAAGTATACTGACATTCGCCGATAGCTTATTTATATAATTACATATATAACTTGTAACATTTCCATGCTACAATTCAGCTATCAAAAATAATGGAATTAGTTGCTTTTCCCTATAAAAAAACACATTCCAGTAATGCTTATAAAGAATTTCACACACATATTTACAGATATGCCCGCACTTTTAAGCCTGCCAGAGTGCTTTCATAGTCTTTGACTGCTGTTTGCAGAAAACGACAGGAAACTGAGAGAGCTACATTCATATAACTGTGATGCGTGTTGTGTAAATGTATGTGTGTATGTCTAATCTCCAGTTCACAGCATCCTGTCACATTGTGAGCCATCATGTTCAGAGTATATCAAAGGAACAACAACAAAAATACAAGTAATTGGTTTGGAGAGAATCTTCTTCACAGTTTTAACCTTTTGAGTGAGGTCCATCAGCCAGCACTCCATGGAATTTGATAAGGAGATAAAAACTTTACTTATTCAAGTTACGATTAACAAATGAGAAATGCAGTGCAGGAGTGAAATAAAATTTCAACATACAGTCCGAGTGATAGCGAGAACCCTACCCCCAGCAATCGGTTAAAGCCTGGTAGATTTTCATCTAAACTCCAATATGAAGGAATGAAGACCAGTAAGAACTTCTCAAGAGATGATCCTGTTCAGATGTTCAAACCCAGATAGTGAATACACAGCACAGACAACTGTGGTGCAATTAAGAAATCGGGGGCAGCCTGTGACCTCTTCCAGCATCAATTGCCACTGATTACTATAACCACCATTTAATAGTCAGCAATGGGTATTAATCCTAGTTAAGTCAAGCCAAATGCCCACTTGACCAGTGCCTGTTAACCAGCTTCAAACTCCGGTTTAGTAAGATGGAGAACAGAGCCTGGCTAGTTTCCATTGCAATCAACAACTATGCCAATGGGATGCTTAACTGTAGTTAAGGCATGCAATGAAAACTGGCATGGAAGGGACACGATCCAACAAACCATTTATAGTCCAACCGAAATTTAGATACAGTTCCCGACCGCATGGCCTGTTACGCTTGGAACACCACTTCAAGACAGACTCTGCAATGCAACCTCTGTGTGTGTGTGTGTGTAGATATGTATGCATGTATAAACGTGTTTGCCAAAAGTAGATTACCCAGTTAACTTTTAAATATCAATCTAAAGGCAAGAATCCACATTCCATAGTAGAAATTCAGTCCGTCGCTCGAAATTATGCAAGACTCTGCCTTAACGGTTGCTTTCAGTCTTGGACTTTACGCAAGTGGTTGTGATCCATGGCTGTGAAGAAGGTGCACACGGCTGCCGTGATGAAGACGTGCACCCCCTCGTAGAGAAGCTTTGGCGAGAAAACGCTCCAGATGAAGAGGTGGTACCGCAGGCCCGTGACCAAGACGATGTACACGGCAACCGGGATGGAACGCAGCAGCGCGTAACAGAAGCAGCCGTGCCCCATGGCTGAAGGATTCCTTTAAATAAAAAAAAAAGCAAAACATGATCTCAGCCCGTGTCAATGCCCTAGCCAATAATTTCCTTGGGCTGGCATAGGAAAGCCTCTGTAATAAATGAAAGATGGAAGTGGATTTAGGAAACGCAGCCCGATCTGCAGAGAGCCAAAAACAACTCAGGTGGAGTTATGCCAAGTGGAGGCATGAGTCTCAATGGATATATTCATTGAGAGCCAGTGTGGTGTAGTGGTTAAGAGTCTCATAATCTGGTGAACCGGGTTCGCGTCCCCGCTCCTCCACATGCAGCTGCTGAGTGACCTTGGGGCAGTCACACTTCTTTGAAGTCTCTCAGCCCCACTCACCTCACGGAGTGTTTGTTGTGGGGGAGGAAGGGAAAGGAGAATGTTAGCCGCTTTGAGACTCCTTAAAGGGAGTGAAAGGCGGGATATCAAATCCAAACTCTTCTATATGGTTCTTATAGATGCCTCAGCAGGTGCTGTAACTCTCCACCCCCAAACGTGCACTCCTTCTCCCGAGACAGACAGATGCCAACAACAATAAAGGAGTTTTATAAGGGGTGGGGTGGGGTCACAGCAACCCAACTTCGCAAAACTAAAAGGAATGCTGATGGCTTTGGCTTGTATTATTCATAGATCATTGTATTCTTTTACTGCAGTACACATGTTTACATACATATTACTTTCATTATTTTTTTTTTGCTAAATTGTGTTCCTGGGACTTTGTCTTTCTGTTACCTACAACTGGGGACACCCACCCACTCACCCTTTTTTACTGTACAAGAAAAGCGATGGTTCGGAGGGGGCGTCTTGCCGCTGCTAAGTTCCAAAGCAGGCCCAAGATGATGGGAACCATCTAAGTGCCGGGTAGAAATCCAGACGTCGACTTAACAGTTCAAGAGATGGTTTGGCAGACACCACATGGCAATCACAGAGAACTAAAAAAAAAATAAGCCATAGTGGTGGCTCCCAAGGCTGTAGATTTATTGCCCATTAACTTTGTAGAGCTATTACACATGACCTTTTGTAAGCCCTGTCATAAAGAGAAGGCTTTGTCATCATGACAGTCAGGGAATAAAGAGAAATGATGGGACTGCTCATACATGAAGACAGCTCTCGCTGAATGGGTAATTGGGAAGGAACCAAAATGAAACATGTCCAATGGGAGCTGTTGCCGCCAAGCAGTAATAGCGCTTTTGGAGCAGCAGTTCCGCCAGTGTGTTCCAGGGAGCTGTGGTTTCCTTGAAAGCATGCCAACGGCTCCTCGCGGAGGCAATCAGTAATGGCATGCAAGCTTCTTGGAACGACAGCTTGCCCAGCGCAACTGGCATTCCCTGGCAACATGGGGCCATGGGAAAGTGCTATGTGTTGACTATCAGTTCTCACAGAGAGCTGGGTAATTTGCAACAGGCCTGATGGGGCCCAGTGTGAACTCTGTCTATGTCCCAGAATTCCTTGCACACTGCACAGGTGTTTCACGGCAGAGGAGCAGGGGCTCGTCAGAAGACAATTCTATTGCCTATGTATGTATAAGAAACATGATCCATTGTATGCTGTGGCCCGTGTACTGCACAATACTGCAGATATGGCTCAACTGAAGGTCCTCATTGTTACCCCAATACTATTTTATAAGATATGAGGTGAGAAGCTGCCTGTCAGGTTCTTCAATTGGGAGAAAATTAGTCTCCCTGGTTGAGATGATGATGATGATGATGATGATGATGATTAATTGAGTTTATATACCGCTCTATACCCTGAGGTCTCAGGGAGGTTCACAGAAAAGATAATAACAATTATTATTATTATTATTATTATTATTATTATTATTATTATTTCATTATTTATACCCCACCCATCTGGCTGAGTTTTCCCAGACACTCTGGGCGGCTTCCAAGACATATAAAATACAAAATAATTAAAATAAAGTAATTAAATACAATATACTCCCATGGAGACTACCTTACACTGCATTTAAAACCAAAATCGTGTTTGGATAGAAACTGTTTAGACCACAGCGCCACCCATGTCCCTTGCAGATTGATACTCAAGGCCAAATAGTAAGAGTTCAAAGAGCAGATTTTTGATTTTTGGCAAAAGACCCCACAGTCCCACTGCATCTGATGGGAGGAAAAGCCTGCTTTAAACGGTCAAAAGGTGACAGGCCAATCCCACTTCATTAATGAAGACGAAAGACTCCAGAACAGAGCCACCTAGCTGGCAGAAAGCCTATCCTTCAGCTTCCACTATTTGGCTCTGCTAGCCACTGGTCTTGTGCCAATTTGATCTTCAAAGCTTGACACAATACAGGCGCAATTATTTTCATTTACTCAACGTGACAATGCGCCCCCACCCGCCAGCATCAAGGCACTCAAGATGATCGTTCTAAAGGGCCGGCAACATCAAATCTTTGATTCTATACACATCTCTAGCGCTCATCACCAATTATCAAGCTGAGAGGTCCATCTGCTATCATTAAGGTGCACGTCAAATAGCACCGAGGCACCTGAATGTCACATGCATTAGGAACTAGTTAAGATAAGCGAGGTGTGCCTATGAATGTATGGTCAACGCAGGGGCAATAAATCCATTTGTTCAGCTACTCTCCACTCCTCAAACCAGACCTGTGTTTCTTCAATGTTTGATACCTATAAAGGTAAAGGGACCCCTGACCATTAGGTCCAGTCGTGACCGACTCTGGGGTTGCGGCGCTCATTTCGCTTTATTGGCCAAGGGAGCCGGCGTACAGCTTCCAGGTCATGTGGCCAGCATGACTAAGCCACTTCTGGTGAACCAGAGCAGCGCCCGGAAACACCGTTTACCTTCCTGCCAGAGTGATACCTATTTATCTACTTGCACTCTGACGTGCTTTCGAGCTGCTAGGTTGGCAGGAGCTGGGACCGAGCAACGGGAGCTCACCGCGTCGTGGGGATTCGAACCGCCGACCTTCTGATCGGCAAGCCCTAGGCTCTGTGGTTTAACCCACAGCGCCACCCGCGTCCCTTGATACCTATAGGCTGGGTTTATTTTAGGAGGCAGGTGCCGCCGTTGTTTATTGGAAACATTTGCCACAGTTCAACCAAGGCTCCCAGAGGAGCTTACAGTACAGTGCATTACAGAGCCTAGTGGGTTAGAGCGTGGTGCTGATAATGTTTGCAGGTTCGATCCCCGTATTCCTGCATTGCAGGGGGTTGGACCAAATGATCCGTTGGGTCCCTTCCAACTCTACAGTTCTACATATTTTTATTGATCAGTGCTCATAAGGACAATCTCCTTGCAAATTCCAGCTAGATCTCTACACTTTGGCGGGGGGGGGGGCAGAGAGAAGAGGGAGGCTGCAGAATACAATGAAATTTGAGAACTGAAGTGAATCCTCTTGTACTTCATCAGGAGTTTCTTCCCTCTCCAATGTTAGCCTATTGATGAACCAAGCCAAGGTCAGCTAAAAGTTCTCCAGGTTCCTGTCTGCGTGAGGAGCATTAACCATACCATGAATAACACTTGTGATTCTGTGGCGGCTGTTAAGGGATTCTGACAACACAGCCTCTGCGTCCTGGGAGGACGTGTTTATGCAGGCTTTGCAGCCGGCGCTAGAATTGTGTACTGCACAAAAAACAGCTTATTAAGTTTAATAAAGGGTTGGAGGAGGGGTGGGGGGGGATGTGCTGTAGGTTTTGTAATGCAAAGCAGAATTACAGGCACACAGGCAATCTCTCTGATGCACAGTAGGTGCTTGCTAAGTCTGTAGAGACGCAATACCAAAGCACTTGGTAAACAAAATGATGTGCCGCTGAACACACTAGCCATTGGATTCAGCAAGTAATGGTTGTCATAGGCCTAAACGCTGGTTTTTATATTGGGCAGTAGTGAGACTGATAAGCCAATCTCTACTTTGAAGTGAAAATCACAGCAACCTGGCAGTAATTCAAAGGCAGGTCCTGTTCTCTTAATATAACCTCTGGCGAGTCAGGATTTTCCCAGCTTGTGTGCTAAAGAGGCAGAGAGGCTAAGTAGCTGAACTGTGGAATCAGGAAGACCTCAGTTCTCATGTCCCTCCTGCCCACCCATGGAATCTGCAATATGGAAATAGTGGTGACCAACCTGGCAGGTTGTTAGGAGGATCACTGCCTTGGTCAGGCTGAACCTGTGCTGGGAAAGACACAGGGAGTTCCACCCTGTTCATTCTGGCATTTGATACTATGAAGCATGGTAGCCTTTGGGTACGATCTCAGGTTGGCGTATGGAGGCACCAACTTTGGATGGTTCTGCTCGAACCTGGAGGACCAGTTCCAGAAGGTGGGATTGGGATGCACGCCTTACAGGGCTCCTCATTCGACATTTGCATGAAGCCAGGAGTGCCAACTTGAATAAAATATGGGGAGAGGGGTTCTAGGTAAGCCCTGCCCCACATAATCGATCACAAGGGGGCGAAGGGACCTCAGCCCCTAGGGCATGAAGCCTACAAATGAGGTCTGAGGGTCTGGAGTTGGGTGTTATCAATATGGTGACAAAAAGCTCTCTTTTCCAGCTGAGTTCAGTAATGCAGATGAAGTTGCCAAGGAAGGCAGAAGCCAAAATGTTTTAACTACACAGCATTAAACCCTTCTCTGGCCATTCACCTATTTTCACATTATGACTTTCATCTTAACAGAATCCTTTTAGGACTCTCGGTCTACTTCTTTGGATGGCCATGTGGCTGTTGTTCATTTACCTCTCCTGCCCCTGGGTATATTTTTCTACTTAGCTATATAAAGGTTTTGGAATGAAAACACCTTTTTAAAAAACTGGTGTTAATGTGACTGTCGCTGCAAGGATTGAGTTAGCTAGTCAGTGGCAATACCTCAACAGGGGTATTTTCCTTTTAAAGGATCTGAAGTACACTGCATATGGGCGAAATTCACCCATCTAGTAAGGCTTTAGGAAACTAAAGGGAACACAACCAATTAAACTAAGAATCTATTTTAAGAACATGAACAATATTTGCAGCTCTTTAATCAAGCAGTCCAGCCAGGAAAATTTGTCATTCTGATGTAATGCAATTAATCTTTTTGCCAAATTTTCCAGTTGCTGTTGTTCGTCCTAAGTTTTAATAGGAACTGTTTGCGTTGTTTTAAAAAAATGGAGATTATATACTTAAAACAAACACTTTCATCCCACTAGGGCTTGTCCAAACATTACTTCTGGAGCCGATATTAAATGATTTTAACATAGTTCAAATTAATTAAAAATACTGTAAATACGTTTCTCTTAATTGTCAAGTCATCTTAAGTTAATGTTTTAAGTTGCTGTAAAATAGATTATGAATAGTTATTAACTAAACATTTGTTTAGTTGAGTCATTTTTCCAATATGTAACTCAAAGTACTTATTTCTTTTTGGCAACTAATTTTTAAAATAATAGAAAATAATAAAATATAATAATAATAATAAACACCCCACCAGGCATTTGCAGCTGGCTACGGGGTAGTGGCAAGTTTGACATGGTAATGTTTATGTTGTCATTTTAAGCATGTAAGCTGCTGTTTTCATTATCTTCTAGTTTTTATTTTGGAGTTTAATAGTGCTTTTATTTGATACTTGTAACATAAGCAGCTTTGACGATCCTTATAGGGGAGGAAGGTGATTTTATTTATTATTGTATTTTATATATAAATATATATATAAATAATATGAACTACCATATTTTAAAAAGGAGAAAGGCGACAAGGTCTCCTGAGTTAGGAATTCTCCTGAGTTTTACCAGGAAGCCCCGCCAACGGCTTCAAATTAGCTTACATATAATGAGAAAGCTTCAAAACCAGTGCTCAATATTAAAAAGCTGATACACATTCAGCCGCAAGCCCTTTACAGAGGTACCTCAGGTTACATACGCTTCAGGTTACATACGCTTCAGGTTACAGACTCCGCTAACCCAGAAATAGTGCTTCAGGTTAAGAACTTTGCTTCAGGATGAGAACAGAAATCGTGCTCCGGCGGCGCAGCAGCAGCAGGAGGCCTCATTAGCTAAAGTGGTGCTTGAGGTTAAGAACGGTTTCAGGTTAAGAACGGACCTCCGGAATGAATTAAGTACTTAACCCGAGGTACCAATGTATATTGTGAATATATACATTCACTCTATGGGGGGGGGGTTCTACAATTTTTGGATGGCCTTGTTGGCCAGGCTGAAAACCCTAGTCACCACCCCCAAAGGGAAGGGTAGGAGGAGACACGAGGCCAACTGGGTGATGCTCCTTGAAAGTACACCGAGTGCCCTCAGGCTATGGCATCCCACTCCCTGCTCCCCATCATTCCTACTCTGACTCAGGAAAAGTCAACAGGTGTGGAGACTGTCAGTTTGGATCTTTGTAACCAAGGCTCTCCAGTGCTCTTGACCACGTAGCCATATCCCAAGCATAGGCAAACTTGGCCCTCCAGATGTTTTGGAACTACAACTCCCATCATCCCTAGCTAACAGGACCAGTGGTCAGGGATGATGGGAGCTGTAGTCCCAAAACATCTGGAGGGCCGAGTTTGCCTATGCCTGCCGTATCCCATTTGTGTTATTTTGAGCCAAAGCAGAAAAAGAAAGCACACCTTTTCCAACCCTTAGGATCAGACTTCTGACACTAAACCTCCGCTGCCGTCTTCAGGAGAAGGAAAGGCTAAGGAGTAAACCCTTCACAAAACCAGAGTGGAGTCCCTAAGACAGTTGGATGGTGTCTTGTACGCCTCCTTCCGGCAACTCCTGCAGCTAACTGTAGGAATGATCGCGGAGTGGGGTCCGGAGGGAGCACAATCCCCACCCGCAGGCAGCCTCAGCCTGCCTGCACGCGTGACCTTGGGGTGCGGGGCACCCCCCCCCCACAAGCCACAGCTGTCTCAACATCGTTGCCTCTGTCTAACCTTTTGCAGTCTCAGTAGTCTGCGGTGTCCTGTCTGTAACCCTTGTCTCTGAGACCTATTGTCTCCTTCATCATACACTGTGCAAAGGGAAAATGACGTGGTGGAAACAGGTGCCAAAATAACTTTGTACCACCCCATGATCTCGAGACCGGAAGATGTGTAAAGGTCACAGCCCAAAATGTATCTGCCTGGTTTGCATATTTGTGTCAATAAAAGGAGGCTCCACAGGGCTGGCCGGCAGCTTGCTTGCAGCTCACCTGCATTATCAGCTCCTGCTTCAATGTCCATCACTTCAGCTAAGCTGGTGCCAAACGTATTGCTCTGCTTTCCTTTGGACCACATCAGCGAGGCCGGGGTGGGAGTGGGGTCTTGTCGCCTGGGTAGCCCAGGACCTCCATACACACAGCCTAGGACTGCATCCCAGGAAGGTCACTTTGGTGCTGCCAGCGCAGCAGTTGGACTCCATTGTCAGCACTCCATTGTCTCTTGAGACAGACAGATGCCAACAAAGCCTTTTTGAAATGCTAATATGGGGGGAAATGTGGACAATTGCAAGGCAGAATCTGCAGGCAGGTATGTTTATCCCCCCTGCCCAGGAATTCTCTCCCCACCCACCAGTAATTTTTCACTTCTTTTCTCCAGCCAGACTCTAAAAACCCAATTGCTGGATCAGTGGGCAGAATAAAAAAGAGCCTCCTGCTTGCCTGCCAGTCCTGCCCTCTTAAAACGTTCCATTATCTCGGCCCACGCAACTTTGAGAACACGCATTTGCCAAAACATCTCCAGCTCGCCCCTTAGGCTTGCAAAGTTCGCTGGAGCATGGACTGTGACATTCAGCACACAGCCAGAAAGAAATTAAACATTTAGCAGTATTTATAAAGCTGCGGTCAGTGCAAAAAAACCCCAAACACACAGATTACCTGCTCACATCGGAGCTCAAATAGCATAGCAAATGAACGGCCCACAATAAAGGTCCAGAGTACGTTGCAAATCCAGTTAGGAAGATGGCCGGGATTTCCACGTAGTTATCAAGCCCGACAAAGCCAGCCGAAACGTCCACAGACGCAATGCTGTTTGAGTTGCCCTGGAAGAAAAGGAAAATACTGAGCAGCTAGATCCACACAGTGAAAATTTGAAAGCTATTCTGCGAGGTAAAGGTACCCAAGATACATCTGGAGGTCATAAGGGGTAGGAGGCCTTTCAGAACTCTGTCTTTACACCTTTCCCCCAGGCCAGGGGCAGGGAATACTTTTAGCCCAAAGGGCAACACTCTGACTAGTGGGCAACTGTCCAGAGGCTGTGATTCAGGCACAGAGAAGTCAGAGGTTTCTACATGTACCGTATTTTTCACTCTATAAGACGCACTTTTCCCCTCCTAAAATGTAAGGGGAAATGTGTGTGCGTCTTATGGAGCGAGTCCAGGCTCCATGGCTTCAGCAAAAGCAACGTGAAGCCTCCAGAGCGCAGCGGGAGCTCCCACTGCGCTCTGGAGGGTTCGCGTTGCTTTCGCTGAAGCCAGGAGAGCAAGAGGGGTCGGTGCGCACCGATCCCTCTTGCTCTCCTGGCTTCGCTTCGCTGGAGAGGTGCTGCGCAGCTTTCCCTCTCTACGTAGCGCCACTTCAGCGAAGCGGGAGGAGAAATAGAAGGGGCTCCGTTTCTCCTGCCGCTTCGCTGAAGGAGCGCTGCGGAGAGAGGGAGAGAATATTTTTTTTCTTGTTCTCCCCCTCTAAAACTAGGTGCGTCTTATGGTTGGGTGTGTTTTATAGAGTGAAAAATACGGTACATCTCTCCATCCAGTAAGAGGCATTATTATAGATCAAGGATCCTTCCAGCCAGGCAGAAGAACTGGAGGAGTGTGGCATTGTCAGTGAAGGGGGTGGCCTGGGGAAGCATCTCCAAGGCCCATTACCCAAGACCAGAAGTTCCACACTCGAGCCCTAGACATTAAACAGGCGTCAACTATATCATGTTTCCTGCTGCCTTCTTAAGAAACCTTTCTGTTTCCCAAGCATTTCTGGATAATTATTGTCATCAACAAAAGGCCACTGATCACTATGCAATATGTTCTGCTACATTTTATGCTTTTTTATTTCCCTTATGTTTATGTTTGTGCATGTGCATTTTTTAAAATATAAATTTCCTAAAGAAATAAGACCATTAATAGTAACAGAGACCTGGAGACTCAATCAGCCCCCAACCTCAGGAAGCTGTCCACTATTGAATTGAAATTGAAATACTTTATTGTCACTTGTACAACCTGTATACAGTAAGATTACAAGAGCACCACCCACTCAGCTCTCTTAGTCTCAATTCCCCTCGTTTACTGACGCACACCCACCAAACCCAAAAGTCAGTTGCCCTGTTGTTATCTTTTCATTCAGCAGTCTAACAGCCCATGGATAAAAGCTGTTATTTACCCTGTTGGTGCAACTAATCATGCTTCTTTATCTTCTGCCTGAGGGCAGGAGATCAAGAAAGTGCCGGCCAGGGTGTGAATCATCCCTGAGAATTTTCCTCACTCTCCTGAGGCAACTTATTCCGCAATGTCATCCAGTGGATTCACGGGACAGCCCATAATATCTTGTGCCGTATTCACCACCCTCTGTTGTTGTTGTTGTTTAGTCGTTTAGTAGTGTCCGACTCTTCGTGACCCCATGGACCAGAGCACACCAGGCACTCCTGTCTTCCACTGCCTCCCGCAGTTTGGTCAAACTCATGCTGGTAGCTTCGAGAACACTGTCCAACCATCTCGTCCTCTGTCGTCCCCTTCTCCTTGTGCCCTCCATCTTTCCCAACATCAGGGTCTTTTCCAGGGAGTCTTCTCTTCTCATGAGGTGGCCAAAGTATTGGAGCCTCAGCTTCAGGATCTGTCCTTCCAGTGAGCCCTCAGGCCTGATTTCCTTAAGTATGGAGAGGTTTGATCTTCGTGCAGTCCATGGGACTCTCAAGAGTCTCCTCCAGCACCATAATTCAAAAGCATCAATTCTTCGACGATCAGCCTTCTTTATAGTCCAGCTCTCACTTCCATACATCACTACTGGGAAAACCATGGCTTTTACTATACGGACCTTTGTTGGCAAGGTGATGTCTCTACCACCCTCTGTAGGTACTTCCTATCAGTTGATGTCAAACCAGCGTACCACACCGTGATGCAGTATGGTAGGACACTTTCTATTGTGGACTGCTAGAAGGAGATCATCAAATCTTGATTGACATCGTTCTTTTGCAATGCTCTGAGGAGATGGAGTCTCTGTTGGGCTTTCTTAACCACCTGGGTTGTATTGATTTTCCAAGTAAGGTCTTCACTTCTTCACTGAGATAAACTCCTAGGAATTTAAAGGAAAAGACTCTCTCCACACAGCCCTCCCCGATGTACAGCGGGGCTAGTTCTCCTCTCTTCCTCTGAAAGTCCAACACCATCTCCTTTGTCTTGCTGATATTAAGGTGCAAGTTGTTCCCTAGGCACCATGTAGATATTTTGCACCTCACTCAATTTCTTAAACAGACATAAGCAAAGAGCCCTTTAAGTCTCAGGTGTGTGCACCAACAGAAGCTTTTGAAGGCCAAACCATTTGTATCAGGAAATGCGTTACCTACATGGAAGGTGTATATGGAGAAGGCGGTGCTGATTATGGACACAGTGCTGCAAAAGGTGAGGTTTTAACCCTTTCTTCCAGTTTTCCCCAATCGAAATCCCCCCTCACATTTGCTATTTACCGGGGGTGGGGGGAAGAGACCATAAGTGTATGATCACGAGTACCTGAATGCTTTGCCATGTGGAGTAAATAGCAGCTTGGAGAGGAGATAATTTGGATCTGATCTCTACAACTGTCACATCTAAGCCTTCTAGAGTCCTCCATCATGCTCTTCATTCCTATTTGCTAGGGTCCTAGCTCACACGGGGAACCGACTAACTGTTGCTCTTCAAATTAGGGACTATGGGATTAAAACAGGCATAGGCAAACTCAGCCCTCCAGATGCTTTGGGACTACAACTCCCATAATCCCTGTCCACTGGTCCTGTTAGCTAGGGATGATGGGAGCTGTAGTCCCAAAACATCTGGAGGGCCGAGTTTGCCTATGCCTGGATTAAAAAGTTCATGGATCCCATCAGTTTGCCGGGAGAGTTGGTCAGTGGCGGGAGACCATGTGCCGGCCTTTCAGCTCTCGTGTGGCTTAAAAAATGTCCCGTGTGGATAATCCGGTGCTATTTTTCTAGAAAAAGAGGAACTGGAAGTCACCATGAACACCTCCCTTGTTTTCTTAGAATGGCAATGGTGCCTACCTGAGAGGTGCTGGAACTGAGTTCCGGTTGAAAAAACCCCTGGGATAATCCATTGTTGTTGTTGTCAACTCAGGGATATAAAGGACAATATGAGATCCCTCCAGTGTTTAAAAGAGGCATTCGAACCACTTCCGTATAAATCACAAACAAGTGGCTTATTTATTTTTAGTTTTCTTTATATAAAGATTTTATATACTCCCCCGGCTCAAAGCGAATCTGTTCTTCGTTCCTTATTTGATTCCGCAGTTTAGAGCGCGGCATACCTTGAGGTAAAGTGTACTGTGCAGATATTACATTTTAAATATTTACGCTGTGCTATGCGAATTCTGTTCCCAAGAGGATGCCAGCTTCACAAAGCCATTGCCCGGTGCTCAGAGGCGTATACAAATTTGTATTCGGGAGAGGACAAACCGTCAGAATGGAAGCATTGTGCGGAGGAAGCAGCCACACAATATCTATCTACTGCAACGGGAGGCCTAAGTGGCCAGACAAATGTTCTCTTTTGTTCGTTATAAATTTTTGAACATGCATTAGAAACAAAATGAACAGAACAGTAATTTTTAATGGGGACTAGGTTCTATATCAAGATGTAGACAGAAATGGGCGAAAAGCAAAACACAACAATGTTTATACGGTAACAAAACTCAACGTCTACTTTCGTGTCACTTTGAGAGGAAACCCACAAAGCACCCAGTAGATTTGGTGAGGAACGAGGACAAATCTCTGGCTTCCTAGCTTGTACATACACTAGGGATAGGCGATATCTGGTTTTCAACTTCATGACATATCACCAGCTAAACATCGCAACAAACCGATATATCACAATGTCTGAAATAAGGATAGAACTATGAAGAGGCATTGGCTGGCTTCACGTTTCCCCCCACATTATGATTTTTGCATAGCACACAAACACACACACATCATGATTCGCCGTATATTGCCATGTCAAAAACTATGAAACCGATATCACGATATGTACTTCAAACCACTTTTGGACGATATATTGCCCGGCCCTGGCACACACCCATGCCAATATCACTCACGATTAGAGCCTGAGATGTGGCCCGCACACCAACCCCTTGGGCCTTGTTTCAGCATTCATCCACCCTTTGCCTTATAACCACAAGCATGCACACATTGGGTCCATGTCAACTAGTACCAGCACAATTCAAAGTGTTGGTGCTGACCTTTAAAGCCCTAAACGGCCTCGGCCCAGTATACCTGAAGGAGCGTCTCCACCCCCATCATTCTGCCCGGACACTGAGGTCCAGCTCCGAGGGCCTTCTGGCGGTTCCCTCATTGCGAGAAGTGAGGTTGCAGGGAACCAGGCAGAGGGCCTTCTCGGTAGTGGTGCCCGCCCTGTGGAACACCCTCCCATCAGATGTCAAGGAAATAAACAACTATCTGACTTTTAGAAGACATCTGAAGGCAGCCCTGTTAGGGAAGTGTTTAATGTTTGAAGTTTTATTCTGTTTTTAATGTTCTGTTGGGTGGCTAGGGAAGCCCAGCCAGATGGGCAGGGTAGAAATAAATAATAATAATAATAATAATAATAATAATAATAATAATTATGCTCCACAGTATAAATGAGGCATCTGCAGGCCCACAGGTTCTCCATTCCTCCTCTACACACGGTGGATGTGGCATAAGCAAGAGGTTTGTTCTGGCACATAACCACACAAAAAGCATGTACGGAAGGTTGCAGGCTGAATCCCTGGCACCTCCAATTAAAACACTCAGGTCACAGGTGACGGGAAGGGCCTCTACCTGAGAATCCTGGGAAGCTGCTGCCAGAGTAGACAATAGTGGGCTAGGTGGGCATACAGTCCAACAAGCTACGAGTCAGTTTCCTATGATCAACAGCGCCAACACAGGCATTGGTTAGTTTTCAGAAGGCAGAGCCAGAGATGGAGTGTTTATGGTCCTCAAGGCAGCAAATCCATATGGTGCTTCTCATGGTGGCAATATAACAGTACGCTAAAAAAAAAAATCTTCTCTGAATAAATAGTTCACTCTACCCTCATATATATATATATATGTGTGTGTGTGTGTGTATATATATATATACACACACACACACACACACACATATATATATATGTTTATTATTTACATACAGCTTTTATACCCTGCCTTTTAACTGAAAATGTCTCTCATAGCAGCTTACAAAAATCAGTTCTAAGATAGTCCTTGCCCCAGTAGCAAAGAAGTTTAAAAGACACAAGTGGGAAAAAGGAATGGAAGGGTGATTCATTCCAATCATAGAAGGGAATATTCTTTGCATATCCCTACAAGCCACTGTCCCAATTCACACACCCCAGAAGCGATGAGCTTCACTTGTTCTGCCCCAATACAAAATGGTGGCCTGACCAGCTTGGAAAACAGAGATAAACACTTCAACGGACTATCAGTGCTAAGCATCTACGAAAGGGTTGAGTCAGAGTGGCAGTTAAAGAGTTCTTCAACCTAGGGCAAAACCTCCTGTATCTCCTTGCCTGGAGAGCAAAACAAAAGAGATGGACGGAATACAAAGCCATCCCACAGCCCTGAAAAAAAAGTTAAGGTGGAGAACTTGTTAAGTTGTGGGTGAACATATCTGACAACACAGCGATTCTTCAAACAGCTCTTGTTTATTCACAGGCCAGAACAGAACTGAACTGAAGGGTTCAGTCAGCCTGCTTATATAGAGCTCCACTACAACGCAATAGTAACCACTTTCTGTAACTATCCAATCAATGTATGTCACTTTCAATCCCTTATTTGCATATGTGGATCTGAGTGAAAACTATCTACAGTAACCCCCTGCTGGCCCAGGGTGAGAACTTCAGTACATAACAAAACTGCTATCTACTTCTGAGACATATATTTCCAAGCTTGGTGGTAAAGCTTCAGATCAAGCAACGAAATAGGCTCCAATTTCTTATGGGAGTTCTTGCAACCAGAACACCATGCAAAACAATTTAAATGACAGCGCAGTAAGTGCAATCTCAGGAACAAGAACCAGAATCACGGGACTTTAAGGCGAAGTATCTTTCAAACTACATTTCAGGGAATTCAGAGTTTGGCTGGAGGGCCAAATGCTTGAAATATCAGTTGCTAAATGCTGTTGGGCTCAGGATCTCCTTGCGGAAATCCCAGAGACACCTGGCTGGCCTCTGTGAAAACAGGCTGTTGGACTAGATGGGCCTTTGGCCTGAACAACAGGCTCATCTTATGTCCTTATGTTTAACTCGGAATTCCTCAGACGCTCATCGGGGCTCCTCAAAGAAGATTAATAACACTGGCAATCTTTCCTGAAACACCGGTTGCCAACAGCTATTATTAATCTTCCCTTCCAATGTGCAGCCACGGGGAAATGTTAAGCACATTGTAGCACACTCTCGGTTCATCTGGGGCTTTGCGGAGGCCCAACAGATTGTAGTAATGTAGGACCTGAAATAATGCCCTGAAACACACCGGAACATTCTCTGGAGTGTTCCAGGGTTCTTGTGGCCCAATACCAGAGGATTCCCTGGCAAATAAGTGTATGTTGGAAGGTTCTCTGCAGCCAGGAAAATCTTTAATCTCTTAAATCAGATTTCTCCTCAGATTTACCCAATTTAGGACTACGGCATGCCCCAATAATAATAATAATTTACTATTTATATTCTGCCCATCTGGCTGGGTTTCCCCAGCCACTCTGGGCGGCTCCCAACAAAATATTAATAACAATAATAAAAAGCGGAAAAACATCAAACATTAAAAACTTCCCTAAACAGGGATGCCTTCAGGTGTCTTCTAAAAGTCAGATAGTTGTTTATTTCCTTGACATGTGATGGGAGGGCGTTCCACAGGGCGGGCGCCACTACCGAGAAGGCCCTCTGCCTGGTTCCCTGTAGCTTCACTTCTCACTGTGAGGGAGCTGCCAGAAGGCCCTCGGAGCCCAAGGAAAATGCAGAGACAAGCTACGCACCCAAGCCCATGAGGTCTGCAAAGTAAGCACCTTGTGATATTCTGAGACATTACATCTGCTTCCTTGAGGGGCCTTGATGGGAATCGTAGAATGCAATGCAGGAATCTCAACTAAAGCATCTATGACAGATGGCCAACCAACCTATGCTTAAAAACAGGGGTTGGCAATGTGCAGCCCATGGGCTGGATACGGCCCACGAAGACCGTTTTACCGGTCCATGAGCCGCCCCTGAACCGAGCCTCCCGCTGGGCGAGTCCCCCTCACGCTGCGCTAAACTGGTGCAGCACGGTGCGGGGACTCCCCGACTGGCGCTGAAAATCACGTCTGCACACAGGCAGATACTGAAAATCGCATCTGTGCATGTCCAGATGCCGAAAATCGCTTCCGCGCAAGCACGATTTCCGTCATCTGGGCATGCGCAGAAGCGGTTTATGGTGCCGCAAACAGGCGCAGATGTAATTTTTGGTGTCGCACTGTGCCAGTCCGGCCCACAGACGATCTCCGTGGGAGTGATCTGGCCCATGGCCGATAAACCTTGCCGACCCCTGCTTAACAACCTCCAAGGAAGGAGAGTCCACCGCCTCCTGAGGGAGTTCGTTCCACTGTCAAACAGCTCTTACCCTCAGAAAGTTCTTCCTGATGTTTAGCCAGAATCTCATGCTTGTAACTTGAATCCATTGGTTTGAGTCCTGCTGTAAACAATCCCTAAGAATTAACAGTATCCTGTTAACACTGCCATGATCCCATCCAAGCAGTCTGGTGTGCAGACATTCTCCTGTCTACCCTATAAACCCCCCACACACATACATCCCCACTGTAAACGCAAGGCCTCCAAATATTTCAGAAGCTTAAGGCTTTCCTTTCTAGAATAATCCTGAGGAAGCTTGCGTTAAATAAGTACAGGGAGATGGAGGGAAGTATATAAGCAGTACTTTTCATTAGGTTTTAATGGGATCTTTAAAAGCTACTCGTACTTGCTGCCTCAGAACTTCAGGATCATTAGCCAATCTGTCGCAGGAGGGGTGCATGGATGGATAATTCAATTAAACCAAAGTATGAACCAAGACTCTACCAATATACTATAGCCTCTAATGCAACAGAAAGTCTGCAAAGAAACCATATGCATCTCACCAGCATTGCTTAATTGCCAGCAGTTCTACACAAGAACACAGCTAAGAGAAAATGGCAACACAGAGTTTAATTTAAGAGTATTCCAAAAATAGTATTCCTGAGGCTTCTAAAAGCGTTTCCAATTTCAGTTACAGGGTTGATCACATGAACTATTTTATGAAGACCGACTGCCTGTTAATCGCTCAAGCTTCTTTTAACATGGAGGTGGGGGGGGCAGTGTTTAATGACTTTTCTGGGTGCAGGGCATGCTTTTCTATTAATAGTGAAGCAAAGCCAAAAGAGAATGTATGCCTAGCAGTGTGTCGGTAGGAAACAGGACAGGTTTTAAAGAACAAGTATTGGGTGTGAAAAAATAAAGGGGTGTCTTTCCATTGCCAGAACCACTAATCCTGTAGCAAGTATTCTGAATTGGCTTGAACATGTATTTTATTAGAAGGTGTTCTGAGTGCCCCGGCGGACAGGTGGAGGGGATGCAAATCCCCATTTCCTCTTTTAAAAACTTGAGTGGTGAATTTGCATGCAAGAAATTCACCAGAGTTTCCTCATGCTGTTGTTGGCATCCATCTGTCTCAAGAAGACAATGGAGTGCGCCTCTGGGGGCAAAGTCAAACGACTGGAAAATCATAGCGCCTGCTGTGGCTGCAGAGACCGGTAACAACTGCAGCCTTCTGTGTTGTTTTTGCTGTGTTAGCAGCACCAAAGTGATCTCCCTGCGGTGCAAGCCGGGGCAGTGTCCTGGGTTGTCTTCCTCGGAAGTCCCTTCCCGACCGTGTTGATGTGATCCAAAGGAAAGCAGAGCAATACATCTGGTACCAGCTTGGCTGCAGGAGTCGCCGGAAGAAGGCATACGAGACACCATCCAACTGCCTTAGGGACTCCACTCTGGATTTGTGTAGAGTTAACTCCTTTGCCTTTTCTTCTCCTGAAGATGTCCCGCAAGATAGTGGGTACAGATTTTTCCTCAGGGTTTACTCCCGAAGCTGATCTCATGAATGAGTATAGACACAAGGCAGCAGAGGTTGGGGATCAGTTTTCGTTCTCCTAGATGGGCTACCCTTCCAACTTGACAAGCCTCATCTGCCCCTTACAAGTGTAGAAACCGCTTTCTTGACCATTAGACTGGCCTCAACCAGAGCCAGGGCTTTTTCGGCTGTAGCTCCGATCTGGTGGAACGCTCTGTCACAAGAGACTAGGGCCCTGTGGGACTTGACATCTTTCCGCAGGGCCTGCAAGATAGAGCTGTTCCACCAGGCCTTTGGCCAGGGCACAGCCTGACTCCCTCCTTTGGCAATCCTTACAGAACTTCTAGCCCAATGGTTGCCATTCATTTTATTGGAATTAATTTTATAATGAAATGAATTTAGAATGTTTTATCGTTTTACTGTTGTTAGCCACTCTGAGCCCAGCTTTGGCTGGGGAGGGCGGGATATAATTAAAATTATTTATTATTATTATTATTATTAGACCCACACCATTGGTCTAGTCTGTTCAATCTGCCGGGCCTATCTTTGCTGCCTAAATCATCAAATGTTTGAGACCCATCAGCTACCCTCACCTGGTTTAACCAGCCGGTCAAAGCCATTTCCCAAGGTGTGGCCACTGTCATATGCTGACAGTTTCTGGCAGCCGCAGGTGAAAGATCAGTGCAGGGTTGGGATCAAAGGTGGAAGAACTATCCCAGAAGGAGCACAATATGTCCTCCACCAGAGGAACTACCCCTCCCCTAACACCACATACACTTCATGTATTCCACACACATTAGTATGTTCTCCACTATAAAGAAGGATCATCTGTATTTTGGTATTTTCAATTCTTCAAAACTTAATTGCCAGTCTCCACAGGCAAACATTTTTGTAGTACAAAGGTACAATAGCCACTACAGAAATTCTTCATGCCACTTCTCTCCCTTCCATATGAAGTCCATATGTTGGTTTCTGCTTTCCTTCACTGTGCAGCATCTGCTTGTCATGAGACAGGTGTTTACATTCCACAGTCTGTACTGTTGGAGTTTCTCACGGGAAAGGGAGACTGGATGTGACGTACACTGGTTTCCTGTTTTTCACTCTGTGTGATACTCTCCAAGCTGTCGAGGAGAGAGGATGCATTTTTCTGCTCCGGCACAGAGGCAAGATGTCTTTCTGTAATATACCAGCTTTGAACTGTAAATAAAGCAATATGGAGTATGTAACACATTTTCCTCATCCTTCCGCTGGGCACGACAGGCTCTGCTTTAAATCAACACGTGGTTATGGACTCCAGGAGTCGAATCGGAGTGCCGGCAAAGGATCGGAATGCAGAGGGACGGATCGGAAAGGAATCTGCTCTGCGCGTCGAAGTGATTGATGAGGTATGTGCTACTGCTCCGGGCAGCCTGCCAACTTCAAGTTAATGGCTTTATGGCTGGACTTTGAACTTTTAAAGCCGGTTTTGCCGGGAATAGGCAAAAGGCTCCCAGGCACAAGTCACTATGCTGGGGAAATCGAAAGTAACTTTTAAGTGTGCCTTTGGATAAGGCAGCTGCAGCAGTGACGCAGCAAGATTTAAAGCAGCATATGACGCTGAAGGCTAATGCCAGAGTCATGATGGCCCTTCAGGATGCTTGTGGGATTCCTAAGCTCAACAAGAAAAATTACAGCGACTGGGTTCAGTATGCAGAGGCAATTCTGCGGAAAGAGGGTTTGTTTGAGGTGAGTACAGGACCAACCCCCACTTCCAGTTACAGATGCATGGGAAGCTAAGGATTCCAAAGCAAGGGGAACTCTTACATTGATAGTATCCCCAGAAGAGCTCTGTCTATTGCGTGATAAGACCTCAGCCAGAGAAATTTGGGACGCTCTGAGAGAGGCTCACTTAAGGACAGAAGCTGGATCAACTATGTTTTATTTTAACAAGCTGCATAATATGGCTCTTGCTGAAGGTGGAGATGTGCGTTTACATCTGATGCAGATGCAAAATCTGAGACATGAGCTGCAACAGAGAGGACTCAACTTTCCAGAGGCTGTGTATTCTTTCATGATACTACAATCTTTGGGTTCAGGTTGGGAGTCTGTTGCAACCCAGATTGCTGTGCAACCAACTGCTCAGCTGACATTGGACTTTGTTACTTACGTGATTGTAAATGAAGCAGATCGCCGGGTGCTAGCTGCATGGGCAAGGGGAGTCTTCACAGACGTCATCCCATAGTGCAGTGGAACCACCAGATGGCGCCAAAGCTTTGAAGGCAGTCAAATGCTACTCGTGTGGACGTCTAGGCCATATGAAGAGGGAATGCAGACATCCCAGGGCCAAGACAGAGCAGCGCAGCGAAAGCTCATCGCGCGGAAAAGGCCGAGGCAAAGGCAAAGGTCCGGTGTCTAGGACAACGCAGCACAAGGCTATGGTTTCACGCTTCACTCCAAAGGTTGCAAAGGTCCAGAAGACGTCTAGATCTTTCTTCGTTGTTGATTCAGCGGCCACCCACCACATGTGCAACGATAAGAAACTGTTTGTGTCTTTTACACCGCAGGAAGGTGCGATTCACCAGGCGGATGACCACACTATTCCCAGTAAAGGCTACGGAACTGTTGTTCTTCACAGTTTGGACTTATCGATACAGAATGTGCTTTACGTGCCAGACGCCAAACATAATCTGCTCAGCGTTGGACAGCTGAATGAGCGGAACATTGACGTTTCCTTCAAGAACAAGAAGTGCATCATCACAAAGAAAAATGATTATGTATTGCATGCAGAATATGTTGATCATTTGTTTGTTTTGTATTATGATGATGTGGTGCAGGATGACACTTGTTGCATTGCAGGTTCTAACAAAAGTTTGCATGCAGAATGTATTCACGATTTTCATCGCAAATTTGGTCATTTGCATTTTGAGGCAGTATCTAAAATGCCTGCCTTGGTTGAAGGTATGACTATTAAACCCTGCAGGTACCACATGAAGTGCAAAGCATGCGCAGCAAACAAGGTGAAAATGGCTGCGAAAGGTAAGGTGTCTAGTAGGAAAGCTACAGAACCATACCAGGTTATTCATGCTGATTTGGTTGGACCATTAGCACCCTCTTTGGGTGGAAATAGGTACTTCATGGTTCTCATTGATGCATTTTCTAGATATATTTTTGTGTACAATCTCAAGCAAAAATCGGAGGCTTTTCCTAGGTTCAAGGAATTCTGTGCTTGGTTGGAAAATGTGCATGGTAAGAAGATAAAGACTCTTTTCAGTGATCGCGGGGGGGAATTCACTTCTCAGCAGTTTGAAGCTTTTCTGACTGAGAAAGGAATTCAACACGATTTGTCTAGTCCTCGCTCGCCATGGCAGAATGGACTTGCGGAACGGGCAAATCAGACATTGCTTCAAGGCTTAAAAACCTTGCTGCATGATGCCAATCTTCCAGAGAGTTATTGGGCCGAATCTCTCTCGTGTTTTGTTTACAGTTACAATCGCAGGTTATCTTCAGCGATTGGATGTACTTCTATGAGAAGATGTTTGGCAAGAAGCCATACATCAAACACATGAAGATTTTTGGTTCTGACATGTGGGTTCGCTCACCACAAAACTCCAAGTTAGACAAGCGTGGATTGCATGGTATCTTTCTAGGTTATCAGAAAGGGTCTTACAGAATAATGATGACTGACTCTAAGACAATTAAGCTCACGAGAAGTGTTGAGTACAATGCAAAGTGGGGGGGAGAATGTGGGAATTTTCCAATGTTATCCTGATGACGGTGATGAGACTGAGGATAGTCAAAAGCAACCACAACAGCCCACACCCACTAATGAAGGTTCTGAGTCTGAATCTGAAACTGAATCGGGTGATTCAGAGGATTTCAAGAGTGCGAAAGCCTCTATGCGACCCTCTGAAAGCTCTGATCAAGAATTGGAGGAACCATTGTTCACAATAGGTCGTTTTTCTCCTAAGAAGGAAGAGGAGAGTGTTGAAGACTTAAGGCTAATTCGTAGGTCACAGAGAGCCACAAAAGGCAAACCTCCAAAGAGATTTGCTGATGAGTTTGCTACGATAGCAGTAACAGCTGTTAAAAGCTCCAAGAAGGTATTTGAACCTTCAAGTTTCCAAGAAATCCAGGGTTTGGATTCAAAGGAAGCTGAGCCATGGTTAAATGCCATGAAGGCTGAGCTTGATTCCTTAGAAAGGAACAAAACATGGGAGCTAGTTCCAGTAGTTCCAGGAATGAAACTGCTTGGAAGCAAATGGGTCTTCAAAGCGAAGACAGATCAAAATGGCAAGATAGTCAGACACAAAGCCAGATTGGTAGCCAGAGGTTTTGCACAGGTACCAGGTGAAGACTATCACGAGACCTATTCACCCACAGTGAGATATGAAAGCATTAGGCTTATGCTCAAGCTAGCTGCAGAGGAAAATCTACACATTAGTCACCATGATATTAATACAGCTTTTCTGTACGGATCTCTAGATGAATCACTTTATATGCTTCCACCTGATGGCGTACAGGTAAAACAGGGATTTGTTTGTGCTCTGAAGAAATCCCTTTATGGTCTCAAACAAAGTGCACGGTGTTGGCACACAAAACTCACTGAAGTATTGTTTTCTCTAGGTTTTCAGCAAGGGAAAGCTGATCCATGTGTATTTGTCAAAGAGGAGGGGCAAAAGAAACTGTACTGTTTGTTTTATGTTGATGATTTATTATTCTTTTGGAAAGATGTTGCAATGTACAATAGCGCCCTAGCTCAACTGAAAGAGCACTTTGACATGAAAGATCTTGGTGAGGTAAACAACTACCTATCTCTGGAAATAGAGAGAGATCAAGATGGTAACATTCTAGTACACCAGTCACGGAAAATTGCTGATGTGTTAAGCAAACTAAATCTGATGGATGCTAACCCTGTAGACACACCGATGACAACAGGTTATCAGGTAGATGACACTGAAGAAGCATTTTCTGACACTACACTGTACAAGAGTGTGCTAGGCAAGCTAAACTTCATTGCCAGATGTTCAAGACCAGACATTGCTGTTAGCTGTAATTTGCTAAGCAGACAAGTCAACAATCCTAGTGTCAAGGATTGGAAAACTCTGAAACGCATAGCGCGGTATTTGAAAGGCACTATGCATTACAGACTGAGATTTAACAATCAGAAGTCTGGTGGTCTTGAGATATTTGCAGATGCAAGTTTTGGAAGTGACGCTACAGACAGGAAAAGTACGTCTGGAGTTTGCTACATGTACAATCAGAGTCTTTTTGATTGGTCATGCAAGAAGCAAACAACAGTTAGCTTAAGTACTTGTGAAGCTGAACTGAATGCACTGTCTTATTCACTTAAGGATTGTGAATGGTTAGTACAATTGTGCAAAGATATGAAAATTCCTGTCAAATGTCCAATCCAGGTTTACCAGGACAACAAAGCATGTTTGGCTTTGCTGAAGTCTGAAGGTTGTAAGCAAAGCACAAAGCACTTGTAATTAAGGTTGCAGCATGCTAGGAATGTATTCAGAAGGGACTCGTAACGGTGTCCTATATGCCAGGTAATGAAATTCCTGCTGATGTATTGTCCAAGATTGTATCAAGGGATCAACACTGTACCTATGTGCAGAAGTTGGGTTTGTACTGATATTGTACGAACACGCTGCCCAGTGATGTTCACAGAAAGGGGGGAGGATGTTGGTTTCTGCTTTCCTTCACTGTGCAGCATCTGCTTGTCATGAGACAGGTGTTTACATTCCACAGTCTGTACTGTTGGAGTTTCTCACGGGAAAGGGAGACTGGATGTGACGTACACTGGTTTCCTGTTTTTCACTCTGTGTGATACTCTCCAAGCTGTCGAGGAGAGAGGATGCATTTTTCTGCTCCGGCACAGAGGCAAGATGTCTTTCTGTAATATACCAGCTTTGAACTGTAAATAAAGCAATATGGAGTATGTAACACATTTTCCTCATCCTTCCGCTGGGCACGACAGGCTCTGCTTTAAATCAACAGGCTGCATTTAAGCAGAACTACAATTAACCTTTGAAAAGGACTCAATCTGAATTTTCATAAATTGAATTAAAGCTGGCAAGATCTGGCCATTGTTGCCACTGCTGAAATTTCTTGGTAAGTGGCTTTAAGTCTCTTTAGAAGCGAGAGGTCTTTTTAAATGCTTTGAATGAAAACAGAGCTTGCCTAGAAACCCAAGGTTGCCACAATGCTACACAAAACACCCGGTAATTCATTTCCATAGACTGCCTTTCGGTCCAGCAAATGAAAAACAAAAATTTAATTCTGACGAGAATTAATTGGTAAACAAAATATAAATACGAACCATCGATCAGCTTGCTAAAATATTAAAAACAAAAACAAAAAACATGGAGAGGAAGGTGTTAAATGCTCTCTTGAAGTCCAAAAAGGACAACCACATGGGTTTCTTTCAAGCCAAAGACTTGCATGGAAAAGAACCTGATGATTCTGGTCTCCCTCAAGCAAATTTCTTAAGGTCCACCACCACATAAACAGCTGTAGCAATGGGCCCTGCCAACCTGTGTCCACGTTCCATACTCAATGTAGCCCTAGTTCCTGGTCAAGAGTTTATCGCCTAAGAGGCAAGCATTTGAACTGAAACAAGAAACTGGCTACAACCAAGGAAATACAGTGGTACCTCAGGTTAAGAACTTAATTCATTCTGGAGGTCCATTCTTAACCTGAAACTGTTCTTAACCTGAGGTACCACTTTAGCTAATAGGGCCTTCCGCTGCCTCCAAACCGCCGCTGCGCAATTTCTGTTCTCATCCTGAAGCAAAGTTCTAACCTGAGGTACTATTTCTGGGTTAGCAGAGCCTGTAACCTGAAGTGTATGTAACCTGAAGCATCTGTAACCTGAGGTACCACTGTATGTTCCTTCTAAAGACAATATGCTCTTACCTGGAAAAAGAAGAACGCTTGTCCAAACCAGTAATGCATGATGGTAACTTGAGCTGCATCAAACTCCAGCGGCTTCCAGACGTACTTTGTCATCATGGCTTGGATGAGAAGACAGAAGACCAACACGGGCAAGTTGTGAGGCCTGAGTAAGAGCGCAGCCAGCAGGACCAACCCACTGTAGATTTCCCACAATCCTATAAACTTTGTCTTAGCGTCTGTCGAGAGAACCTGAGATTTGAGCAAGTCTTTGGTGCCTGTGAAGACGATGCCAAGAACAAAGACATAGACGAAACGTGCTTCAATTATGCCCCTAAAATGAGAGAGAAAAGATAGAACAAATTCAGCATCTGATGGGTCCAAAAATCTGCTTCTGTTAAAACTAGAATAAATATTCCTGGAGGAATGAAGAGTCCAAAGTAAGCCCATCCATGAAGCAAAGCTAGGCAATGGGTTTTGGGGTGTCATTACCAATGGAACAAGACATTAACAAGAAGTGACTGGAATAAATCAAAGAGTTCTGTGTGGAAATCTTCCTGGTGGATTGTACCCCCATGGGATGCAGTGTTAGAAAATGGGATAGAAAAGCTAGGAGCTAAATGGCTTCTGGGACTTGGGTTGTGGGGACCCAAACAGAATGTCTAGTCATCACGGGGTGGGGCGGTCAGCAACACTTTTTATTTATTATTTTGATAAGCAAGAATTAATATGCAATTCACGTGACACATTGTTAACATCACATTTTTAACAGAAATTGTTAATACATGTTTAACTTGGTGTTTACAATAAAAAAAAATGGGTAGCATACTTCAGTTTTGAAAACACTCTACACTTTATTGTTAAAACTCCTTAACATATTGTCTGTCCTTAACGTATACTTTGAGGCTTCAAAGCACATACATTTCAGTAATCCTTGAGTGTCAGCCGGGTGCAAAAAATGGCACCCAGACTCTGTGAGGTGCTCAGAAATGGAGAATCTTTAGGCACAAAATGTGCCTAGCGCCCTGCTGATTTTGAACCCTGATGGGATGCCGAGTAAAATTTGCCCTCAGAACTTCCTGTTCTACAACTCTCAACCATAACCCTGTATGTTTATTCAGCTATGAAAATCTGGAGCCTTTATACCCGTTATGGGGATGTTATTCCCATGACGAAACCTAATGCTGCAATCCTGTGCCCATTTACCAAAGAACAATGGACACTGAACTCAGCAGGAATTATTTCTGAGTAAACCCCAAATCTTTTGAACACCCACTCTTTCAAAGTTCCAACAGCTCCGTCCAAAGTCTGTTCAAACTTTGAAAGAGTGGGTGTTTAAAAGATTTGGGGTCATTTCACCTCTTATTTCATAACCTGTCATCACATCTCCATTGATAACGACTAGAAATTTATAGTGCGATCCTAACCATTCCTACTCACAGTGCAAAAAGTATTGCTACATGCCACCCCACTACCCAAGCGAGCAGTGCAAGATTCCAGGGGTTCCAGGCACTTACCCAGGGTCTGTGTTTCCTTTGGAATGAGGCACAGTGGAGACTGTGGCGTCTTTCTGTTATATTGTTTATTTACACATACGTACAACCTGAGCCTATGATGGAAGGGTTCACAGCATTCGCACCCAACAGGGCCTTGCTTCCCCCAAAGCCACAGCTGTCTCTCTCTCAGTTCCCAGTTTGCTGCTTTGCTTCTAAGCTCACATCACTGGCAACTCTTTGCTCTCATTCCCAGCTTTGTCTTTCCAACTACCCACAAACTGGGGTAAGGTACCTGTACCATGCACAGAGCCCCAGTCCTTTGATCCCCGTAATGGACCATCACCCAGGCAATCGCCTCAACAGGAAGCTAGCCTGACTTATATCTTAACACTTGCTGGATCCAGGGGTTTGGGGAGGAGGTCTACCCCCCACCCCTCATAGCAGAATCTTGGGATACTGGACCCTTGCCCCAAGGAACGCTAATCACAAGCAATTCATAGAAACAATATTAGAGGTAAAGAGTACTAGTCTTAGCATCAAAGCTATATAAAAATGTATGTTTTGGCAGTTAAACCCAAAACATAGTGCATGGAATAACAATTCCTGCATCCGAAGACCATGTTCTCAGTGGTGTCTTTCATTTGAGTTGGCGCCCAGCACCCAGGCAAAGAAATGAACAGCTGACTCAAGATCACAGGGCCTTTATCTCCCTTTCTTTCTCTGGAAATCACTTTGAAGGAGGATGTTGAATTTGAAGGCAATCAGACCCCTGCTGAACTCCTTCAAATACCTCAAGAGGGACGGGAGGGCTAAAAATAAGGGGAAGGTGTTGACGGGCTGATTTCCACTATTCACATGCCTTTTGAACATCAGCAGGAATTGGATTTTTGTACACAACCAGGGTGCATAAAGGACCTGTTATTCCGTAAACCACCATTACCTGATGAATTGCACTTTCTAATGGTTTTGGGGAATCGGAGCAAGAAAAGGCGAGAGAAGCCAGAGCTTTAAACAACTAGACTTAAAATCACACGCCGGTTTCAACGATGGCTGCAGCCAAACCCATTATACCCAGGGGCTTTCAAACTTTTTATTGCCAAGAAAAACTTTGGCATATCTGCTGAGGAAACCTGTATATCTGCCATGGAGCTGCCAGCGTGTCCTAGGCTCCCATTGCACTCATGAGGAGCACTGAAGAGGCCTGGTATGCCTCAGTGTGGTGGCATGTCCAGAACTCACCTGCGCACCGTCCTGTACCTGCACACTGAAAGGAAGTAGAAGTAATGCTAGCATTCAAAGCATCTCAACTGCCACTAGGGCTGTGCGATAAATTGCCATACCTTTGAATTGAAATCAGGGCCGGATTTAGGTTTGATGAGGCCCTAAGCTACTGAAGGTAATGGGGCCCTTTATATGTCCAGCTGACCTTTGTCAACAACAAACTGTTGCTGTTTTTTGTGTTGAATATATGCTATATGGTAATTTATGGACCTAATAGGTATATAAAGCCATTTGCACATAACAAAATATGTATTTTATCAAAGTAAGCGTTGAACTGAAATACAATTAAGAAGAAGTATATTAATAGTGAAATACAATTAAAGAAGTATATTAATAATGAAATAATTATTAAGCACTAACTGTATGTAGGTTCTATTTTATTTGTTTTCTATCTTATATTTTGGAAATGTACCGTATTTTTTGCTCTATAAGAATCACTTTTTCCCTCCTAAAAAGTAAGGGGAAATGTGTGTGCGTCTTATGAACGAATGCAGGCTGTGCAGCTATCCCAGAAGCCAGAACAGCAAGAGGGATTGCTGCTTTCACTGCACAGCGATCCCTCTTGCTGTTCTGGCTTCTGAGATTCAGAATATTTTTTTTCTTGTTTTCCTCCTCCAAAAACTAGGTGCGTCTTGTGGTCTGGTGCATCTTATACGGCAAAAAATGCAGTACATCCAGGTTTGTTTTTTCTTTAAAAAATTTTGGGGGGCCCCAAGAGAGTGGGGCCCTAAGCTATAGCTTATTTAGCTTATACGTAAATCTGACACTGGTTATAATAACCTCTTGATAAGTGTTTCAACAAGGCAACTTACTGGTGAACAAAAGCTGGACAGCTTCGCGGGGGTAAGCACAGCTGAACTTTACAGATACAGTGGTACCTTGTTTTGAGTCCGGGATCCATTCCAGAGCCCCGGACGCTCGACAAAAGGGACACTTTACGCGCACACACAGAGCAGTTTGTGCTTCTGCGCATGCGGCAAACCCGGAAGTAACCCGTTCCAGTACTTCCAGGTTTGCTGCAGACGTTCACCAAAATGGACGCTGGACTACTGTACTTTGAAGAGTTTGCAGGCTTTGTTTGCTCTCTCCCTCCACCTTCCTAAAACACACACACACACACACTGATAAATAAAGATAGAAGCCTGAGGCTGCAGCCAATTTTAACCCCTCGCAAGCACACAAACCAGAAGAACTTCCTGCTCTCAAAAACTCTCAAGAGCTCAGCTAATTATGCAGAGGCTGCTAACAGGCAAAGCAAACAGGGAATGTGAACAAAAAAATGGAAAGCACTCCCTACCGTTAAAAAATAAAGGGAGGAAGTGTTTTTGTTTTTATTTTCCCCCTAAATAGCTTTCCTCCATGTTAAAAAGGAAGGTTCCTTGTTTGGTTGGTTGGCTTTAACGGATTTTAGTATTGTCTTTTTATACTATGGCAATTCCCCCTGGGACGTTGGTGATGAAGGGCAGGTAGGGAATATATATATATATATATATATATATATATATATATGTATATGTATATATGTGTGTGTGTGTGTATCCTGAACCTTGCTCAGTTAGCAAACTCCATTATCTTTAAGGCACCTTCACATCTCCAGTTGATAGCATAACATTTCTCGGGCATTATTGCAAGAGATCTTGAAAACCACTGTACTACCAAAGACCAGCAATTTAAGCAAATTACAAAAAGGTCTCTTTCCAACTGTACAATTCTATGATAAGATTTTTTTAAAAAAAACACATTATATTTCAGTCTATGATAATTGGAATTAAAATGCTGATTGCACTTAAGCTGTCAGAAGCAGGTTTTTGGTAGGCATTTCAAAAAGAAGTTATTCGCTACTCTAATTGCATTAAAAAATACCCTCTCTTTTCAATTGAAGCAGTTATAACATTTCTGTTCTGTTTCAAGAAAGAAAGAAAAACATTTGACCCTAAGGAACAGCCACCAAAAAGTTAAACTATGCCACTAGTAAATCAATCCATATAAACAAATGTGTCATTTAAATGAAGGACTGTCTCCAACTAAGTCCTACTCAGAGTAGAACAACTGGAATTGATTGGCCTATTTTTATGAGTTTACTCTGAGGAAGACTAATATTGGATACAATCCTATATTAAACAGCTAAATGTGTTCCACTTTTTATTATCAGCGTTGAATACCTATTATATCAATATGCTACAATTCTTACATAACAGAGACTTAAACTTTCTGAAAATGTTGAAGTCATTATTTTTTTAAAAAGACCTATTGGTTTCTCTCTCTTCTTCATCCATCCCTGCCAAAACAAGTTTGGGAGAGCAACTGAAATATATGCAATATTTAACATTCTCATAAACCCTACCTTTATTTTATGGCTTTATCAGTATAAAATGCATTATTTATAAAGTATACCATTTGCTGTGTTTCCGAAATTCACAAAGCAGTCCTACGCATCCTTGCTAGGAAGTAAAACCCATTCTGTTTAGTGAAGTTCTCCCATGATAAGCACACAAAGAATTGCAGCCTCAAAAAGTATGCCTCTGTTCTGTAGAAGCAAAATTACTAATATATGATCAAATACTAGAGAAAGCTGCAAAGTGCTTTGCCCTATGGTACCTTAAGTACACGTATCTTAAGCGTTTGTCATCTGATAAGTTGAATGCCCTGAGATCCATGGATGAAGGGGCTGTATACCAATTTAATAAATAATCATAATGATAATAAGTTGGGGGAAATAAATGCTGAAAACAGAAAAGTAGAAATTTTGTTATTAACAAAATAAAGTGTACTGTTTGGAAGAATGGTCTCACACAGTCATAATGTTGATGACTTGCTGCATATTTAGATAGTTAAACTTTTGCAGTACAGTCGTACCTTGAATCCCGAGTGCCCTGGAACTTGGACCTTTTGGCTCCCGAATGCCGCAAACCCGGAAGTGATTGTTCCAGTTTGTGAATGTTCTTTTGGAACCCAAATGTCCGACGGGGCTTCCATGGCTTCTGATTGGCTGCAGGAGCTTCCTGCAGCCAATCAGAAGGCACGATTTGGTTTTCAAACATTTTGGAAGTGGAACGGACTTCCGGAACGGATTCTATTCTACTTCCAAGGTATGACTGCATTATATTTGAGGGGTGTATATGTCGTTACAGCAAACACAGAAATCACCACTTTCTAATGTTGTTGTAGATTATTTTACATAAAACTCTTCATAGAATACATTTTAAATTGAATAAAACCTTGTCTTAAAAAAGCATGTTATTCATTTCAAAAGAGAAAATATTTTATAGCAATTCTTTTTCTGTATTCTCCCAACTGAAAATAAAATTCAGAGGGAAAATGGCATGCACCCAAATTACAGTCACCCACCCAACTCCCAGGTCTTCACACCTTTGTATACCCATATTCTTCGCCTGGTCCAAACCCCACCTGTCTTCCCCACAAACTACCTGAGCACAACTATGCTGGTTTTATGAATCAAGCAAAATCAGGCAAAAGGACAGGGAAATGCTGTACATGCAAGTGGTCTAAATGACTTACTGGGGATGACAAAAGGCTACATTTGGCCGTGTCATCAGAGACAAGGACCTCCACAAACCACAAGTCCAAGTTACTTTTAAAAATCTTACTTGCTTCATAAATGAAGAGACCACCAATTAGTTGCAGGGGAAACATCAATTCAACCACCTCTCCTTAAAAGTTACAGGAATGCATCCTAGTGTTCCAGTTCGTACATGTAGCTACAAACACTCTCGAGATTTCTAGCTATTAAAATGAGTGCTCTCATTGACGTTCAGAAGCAGAAGTTTCTTGCTGTATTTTTAATGAACTTATTTATAGGCCAACTTTTGGGGCGTAGTCCAGTCAAGGAGGCATATTTTATTGTGTGTGTGTGTGTGTGTGTGTGTGTGTGTGTAGTAGTAGTAGTACCTCGGGTTAAGTACTTAATTCGTTCCAGAGGTCCATTCTTAACCTGAAACTGTTCTTAACCTGAAGCACCACTTTAGCTAATGGGGCCTCCTGCTGCCGCTGCGCTGCTGGAGCACAATTTCTGTTCTTATCCTGCAGCAAAGTTCTTAACCTGAAGCACTATTTCTGGGTTAGCGGAGTCTGTAACCTGAAGCGCATGTAACCTGAAGTGTATGTAACCCAAGATATATATATATGTGTGTGTGTGTGTGTGTGTGTGTATATATGTTTGTGTGTGTGTGTGTGTGTGTGTGTGTGTATATATATTTATATATGTGTGTGTGTGTATATAAAAAGCACTAGACAATTTTAAATGACAACAGTACAAAATGATTATAATATATCAACCCAGTTAAAGATGCATTTTAAAAAAAGAGCTGTTGTACTTCAGAAGCCTCAGATCACATGCCTCTAAACTGCTCTTCACACTGTAATGGTGATATTAAGCCATCAGCTTTAAGGGAGGAAGAGTCACACACGGAACCTACAGCTTTGAAAGTTCAGCGGATTATGCTTCCGGCTTAGAAGCCCCCAGAGACATTTGTGAAAGGGCAGGTGGCTGCAACTAGGAAACGGAGAGATTTGCGGAACCTTGCTGTCAAATTGATCCCCAACTACCCCTCGCGTTGTCGTTTAACACTCAGCTGGTCGCCTGCAATGAGCCAACCATGTATCCCCAAGCTGACTAGGTGCTTCCTCAACCCCACAGTGCATTATAGAATAACAGAATTGTAGAGTTGGAAGGGACATGATGTTTACTCCTTCCTTGTAACATGAAGCCATTTGTTCCGAGTCCTACCCTCCAGAGCAGGAGAAAACAAACTTAGCTCCATCTTCCATGTGACAGCCCTTGAGATATCTGAAGATGGCTATCTCCTCTAATTATGAATTATAATAATTCATTTATTATAATAATTATTTGAATTAATTGAATTATTTGAATAATTATTTGAATTATAATAATTCAAATTCTAATTTGAATTATGGTGCTGGAGGAGACTCTTGAGAGTCCCATGGAGTGCAAGAAGATCAAACCTATCCATTCTTAAGGAAATCAGCCCTGAGTGCTCACTGGAAGGACAGATCCTGAAGCTGAGGCTCCAATACTTTGGCCACCTCATGAGAAGAGAAGACTCCCTGGAAAAGACCCTGATGTTGGGAAAGATGGAGGGCACAAGGAGAAGGGGACGACAGAGGACCAGATGGTTGGACAGTGTTCTCGAAGCTACCAGCATGAGTTTGACCAAACTGCGGGAGGCAGTGGAAGACAGGAGTGCCTGGCATGCTCTGGTCCATGGGGTCACGAAGAGTCGGACACGACTAAACAACAACAACATCTCCTCTAAACATAACCAAGTTCCTCAACTACTGGTCATAAGGCTTGGTTTCCAGACCCTTGATCATCTTGGTTGTCCTCCTCTGCACACATTCCAGCTTGTCAATTTCCTTCTTAAATTGCGGTGCCCAGAACCGGACACAGTATTGCAGGTGTGGTCTGAGCAAGGCAGAACAGTCTTACAGAGGCTTCCCATTTTGCAATGGTCTCTGGCAACCTGCAGAAACTCTTAAGGCTCATGCCCAAACCAACACACCGCTCGCTCGTATAACATTTCCTTTTAGACCTCGCAGTGTTAAGTACATTTACATAGCTGCTAATGAACTTACTTTGAAATATCTTTGCTGTCTCGTTGCCATGGAAATTCCACATTTCCAATGGCTGCCCGGTAACTGTACACTCCCAAGAGTCCAAGTGCCATTGCTATTTTTGAAACCAGAGAACATCTCCGCTGCACAAGAATAAAAATCATAACTAGAGATACAGATGCCACGAGAGAAAGTTCAGCTTTATGTTCAGAACTGCAAAAACAAGAATAATTTCAATTAGATCCATTTTAACAGATTCAGCTACTGCAAGTTCATTTTTTGAAATTGTTGGTTTGGTTGGACCTGTATTAAAGTTGTTTATTGGGAAGGAGGCTGAAGAGTTAACTAGTTTCAACCTAAAAACAGCAAATCTCATACCTTGATATATATACTTTTGTCTAAATTGCATATTACTTCATTTTGTCACATTGTTCCAGACACTTTTTATTATTAAAAAATGGAATTGCCTCTTGATTACAGCAGAGGAATTATCCCTATCCTAAACCTTAGATACAGATAGATACAGATATAGATAATTATAACTAGATATATTTGCCCCAGCCAGTGTAAATTATTGGGATTTATTGCCCCATTGGGGGTTTTCCCAACAAAAGGTAATCCAAGGAAGAATTACAGCACAAACCTAACCATGTCTACTCAGAAGTAAGCCCTACTAAATTCAATAGGGTTTACTCACAGGTAAGTGGGTTCAGGATTGCAGCCTTAATACATTTCTTCTGATATCACACACATGGATCTGCTTGGGGACAATTTTACTACCCTGAGAAAATTGGAATTGTGCTTGGGGTAGTCAAATGTTCCAAGCACCATTTGTAAAAGGGCTTTGCTTCCTCCCCCCTCCCCAATCTCTGCTCCAGCAAAAGAGCACCTTTCTAGCCATTAGGGTTGCAAATATATTCTTCAAAGTGCAGTGCCAACACCTGGTGAAATTTCAGAAGTCACGAGTTCCAGCTCCTTGCCCCGCATCACAATTTGCGGAAGCAGAATATCCAACGCAAAAATAAATAAATTAAAATAGTATCAAGCACAGCGTTATGCAAAACTAGAGAAATCTCACAAACTTGCCTAATTTATACAAGCGACATAATTCGGCTTTTTTTTGCATCACAGAATTTGGATTGCCTCGGAGCAGAGTTTTCGCTGTATTTTTAGCACGGAGCACAGAGAACTATTTCTGCCATGGCATTCATTCTGGGTGCCTGGCACCTTCCTCCCCCCTACCTTATTTTTGCACATGAATATAACAAGGAAGTGTCATAGCTCAGTGATAGAACATCTCCCTGACGTTCAGAAGGTCCCAATCCTGGTGTCTCTAGGTAGGGCTGGGATAGACCTTGCCCAAAAACCTGGAGAGCCAGAGTGAGGTTGTGTAAACCAATGGTCGGACTATGTATAAGGCAGCTTCACTGCATTTAGGGTGGGCTGCTACACAATGGCAGCTGACACTTAAGCCTTCATTTTTAGGCTTCCTTTAAAACTCTTATTTCACAGGCCAAGCGATTCTGTTGGAAAGAAGTTAAAGATCGGCAAGTTATCTCAGAAAGCATCATTTTCCCACCCAAGAGCAGGTAACTGTTTCCTAGATGGAAAAGGAAACTTTCTTTTTAAAAAGAAAGCAAGCAGATGCAAAGGAAGATTGTTCCAGTCTTTTGCAAAGCATCAAATAGATACAACTGCACTGCAGGGGGCTGAACTAGATCAGGGTTTCTCAAACTTGGATCTCCAGTGGTTTTTTGGACTACAACTCCCATCATCCCTAGCTAGTAGGACACATGATCAGGGATGGTGGGAATTGTAGTTCAAAAACAGCTGGTGATCCAAGTTTGGGAAATACTGGCCTAGATGATCCTTTGGGTTGCTTCGAACTCTACAATTCTATGAATCTAACTACCAAGTAGAGCTAGAGCAGCTTCATGATTAAACAGTGAACCAGGAAGCCGCCAGTTCAAATCTGGCCTCTGTCGTGAACTCATTTAGTGGCACTATTCAGGCTCAGCACCCCATTGGCTAACTGGAGATAGAAAGGCAAGTCATGGGGAAGACTAGCCTGGCCCAGAGTTTCTCAAATTTGGGGTCCTCAGCTGTTGTTGGACTAGCCGTTGCTAGGCCCTGAACTTCATCCACTCATTCATTCTAGAGCAGCCTTTCTCAACCTGTGGGTTCCCCAGATGTTGTTGAACTACAACTCCCATCACCCCTAGCTAGCAAGGCCAGAGCTCAGGGATGATGGGAGTTGTAGTCCAACATCATCTGGGGACCCAGAGGTTGAGAACCGCTGTAGAGACTGGCATAGAGGCTGCTTTGACCATGAGCAGGCTGGCACCACCCTGGCCTAGGTTCCAGGATTTTCATAAGATGGCGCTTGTTATGATTGTGACGCCGGTGGTGAAGCTGTGCCTTGATTTGTAGAACAAAAGCATTTCGAGTGGTCAGACAAAACCTGCAGCAATTTCCAAAGTGGTCTGTAGAGTGCGGGGTGGAGAGGTGGGATGAAGTAACAAAACAAAAGCATTTTGAGTGGTCAGAGCCAAAGTGTTGCTCCGTGGCTTCAGAGGTAAGGGAACCTCCAGCCATATTCCAAATGGTACACCCCATCTTTCTCCCTCCGCATTGTCATTAACCCAGAAAACAATGGGGTTGCCATCTTCCTCCCTGGAAGAGGGAAAATGCACAGAGGAAGAACATTCCACTGCCAAATATTCAAAAACTGCGTAACCTTTTCAGATGGCTGACCTACGTTCCACTGTTTTGGAGGTTACCAAGAAAATATGAGGAAACCTTCCAAGGCATGGCATGAAACACAAACTATTACAAATACTAGCTAATAAAGCCGCAAGATCCATAAAGTATCAGTAGCTTGTGGCCCAAAAGAAAGACCTTTTGTTATGCTTCCCTAAATAATAATAATAATAATAATTTTATACCCTGCCTATCTGGTGGGGTTTCCCCAGCCATTCTACAACTCCCTGCAGGTGAACTACCATGTGCAAGCCTTAATTTATCACCCATCCTGCCAAAAACAAATACAGAGCAATTCAAATACGCACCTTGTCAACCAGTGGCCGAAATCTGGCTTGTGAGCCCACTGAACCCCAGTCTGATTTAGCGAGCGAAGCAGACGGCAGCAAACGAGGACAACCCATGGAGTGGCCAACGCCATCCACTTCTCGGAGCCCCTTGTGCTCTCAGAGTTGGCAGCCTTGCCCGTTTTCGAGGCATCCTGCAGGTAGCCAGCATCATCCCTGTGGTGGTGGGCTCCTTTGACTTCTTCAGGGTTTGCTTTGGCTGAAGAGGGAAGCTGAAGATCGCAGTCTTTAGCCAAGAAATAGTGCCTGCAGGTCTCCTGGCAGAGGGCGAGGCAGAGGGTACTGACGAGGAAGTACCAAGTTTGGTGCTCCTCTTCAATGAAGCTGCTGGCGCCCAGACTTGACACATGGCCAACAGTGCCTGCCAGGATAAGCATGTCAAATTCAGACCAGCTGGAAGTAGCGGCAGCTGGATTCTGTGAAGAGGGGAGGGAGAAAAATGTGTTGGCGATATAATTTGGAAAGAATCCAACGCATCATTAGAGCCCGCCGGCATATAAAATTGCATGCATCGGCTTCTTCAACGACAACGGTATTTTTGTTACGTTTTATGTAATTCTCCTACATTCCTAGCCCAAAACAAGGTTAATTTCAGCGTAATTCAGAGTTGCTGTCAACATTCGGTTAATTGTGCCATTGAAACGGCTGCGCGTTCTCTTTCAAGGAGTGCGCAGGGCTCCTCTCTGAATAACCAGCATTACCATGTAAAGTTCGCATTGTCTCTCTAGCCACGCGACTGAGTATGAAGTGCCTCGATGTGGAACTAAAAATAGAAAATCTTTTCGCAATCAGAAAATTCTAAAGGAGGTATGTAGCGAGCCGTTTCTCTGATCTCTTTAAATCTACCCATTTTCCAGCGTGCTGCAATGCAAGGGAAAAAACCCAACCATCTACAGTTGTTCATTTAGCTTCGCAGCTGCAGCAAGAATAATATTGATCCGCTGGTTATTACATTGCTCATACTAAAGCTATGGGTTTATTTCCTAAGAAGCCGCCAGGCAAGGCTACCTCGGAAATGGCTATTTTATATGTTAATTGCTGCAGAGTAACCCAGTTTAAGGATAGCTCTTCAGAAATCCTTGAGTGCACTCTTTTTTAGCAAACTGAAAGTTCGCTTAGCTCAGTGTCTCTCAAATTTGGGACTCCAGTGGTTGTTGGACTACAACTTCTATCGTTCCTGACTAGCTAGGGATGATGGGAGTTGTAGTCCCAAGTTTGAGAAACACTGGCTTAGCTCTACAAAAAACAAAACGACTCTGGAAAAGTGCAGTCAAGTAAAATAAAGGGTTATCATCTGAACACTAGTAAGACATGCAGAGAGAAGTATATAAAAAATATCCAGCCATTCAGTTGACCAAAGTCATAGGCTTCAATGCTGTATGTTAGGCCTCTCAGACTTCACTGCCTAGGCAGTGCCTGAAAGGATCTTAATGTATATATGGGAAATAGAAAGACTGACTTGCTTATTCAGTTACTGCTCTAGTCTATGCATTCAATGTAATCAGTTTCGACTGCCGGAAGCTATCAGGAATAATAACTCTTTAACTACGGGTATATCAAAGTATATTTGCCACCTACGCTCAGACTTTGTCTATAGCAGCCTTCATCAAGCAGATGTTTTGGACCATAACTAGCCATCAGACCCAAGTTAGCATGGCTTTGCTGGCTGCGAGTGGTGATGGTTATAGTTCAAAACATCTGTGGGCACCGGGTTGATGAAGGCTGCTCTTTGGGCATACCACTTAAACTCTTTGAAGCCCTCCTTTTTAAAACTTAAAGCTCATAATTAAACATTAAGCATAATTATTTTTACTGGAGACCACCACCTCGAATCCCTCAGCTTGGGAGGGGGTAAATGGTTCCCACTTGTGGCAAGTCAGTTTTATTTATTTATTAAGCAATATAGTTTTCTATGCATTAGCAGTATAGAAAACTTTTCAGCAGATGCATAAATATCAGCACGGAAGAAGTCTGCTGAATTTCTATTGGCAGAGCACTGCACAGGGCAGGCAGGGCCAAGACACTAAAGGCTCAGTTTCCTTTTGCTGTCAGATAAGCCTTGCCAACTCAAGAGATGACAAACAATGCTCCTGCAGATGAACTAGGCAGGTGAGCTGGAAGGTAAGGTTTCAAACAGTTTCTACCCTGGACCTAAGTTGTTCAGAGTTTTGTAAATTAATACTAGGACCTGTTGGCTTTTTGCAGTATGGCAGCGCTGCAGAGAGCTTGCTGGGGAGACCATGCATTAAAAAGGGACTCAAAAATCGCTTAAACAAGGTTTTAATTACAAAAACAAAAACTCCTTAAACACTAAATACATCAACAACAAACCAGACCCAACCACCAACCCATCCCCCAGGGTAATGGGAGAGCTAGGTGCTGCTCCTTATATACTACACCCAATTACCAACACAGCTTAATCAATACAACTCAGCAGCACCTGCTATGTTTCACAGCTGTAAAGCTGGGTCTCGTTATCTTGCTCTGGCCCTTGCTCTGGCCCCTTAAAGACATACACATCGGGTGGAACAGTGATGAACCTTTACATTTAAAGAAACCATTCAACAGGACCTTGAACATGACTCTGCAGTCAATGGGCAGCCAAGCGCAGATGTTTTAACCGTTGTGTCATGTCGTTGGCCATGTGCCCCCCCCCCCCCCATTCAGCAATCTGGCCATCAGATTCGCCACCAACTGGAGCTTCTAAGCTAGGCCCCCAGGGAGCGCATTGCAGTAATCCAGCCTTGTGGTTACCAACACATGGATTACAGTGATCAGCCAGAGCCAAATCAACCAATTCAATGTACGGTAAGGTGCTGATGGAAGTCCAAAAATATTGTATAAGAAATGCAGTTCTGTTGTATGATTGATAATCAATATGTTAAAATTAATAAAAATTATTATATATAAAAAAATGCTTGTATGCCCTTTCTCCTACTCAATTTCCATACAGTGGTACCTCTAGTTGCGGACTTAATCCATTTCGGGGTGCCATTTGCACCCCGAAAAGTCTGCAACTAGAGCGTCTCTTCTGCGCATGTGCGCAGCGCGATTGAGCGCTTCTGTGCATGCACCAAGCACGCAGATTGCTTCTGCACATGCGTGGGCAGCGAACCCAGAAGTAAACACTTCCAGGTTTGCCACGTTCGTAAGCTGAAAGTCCGTAACAAGAGCAGAACGCAACACGAGGTATGACTATATTAACAAAACCTCAATGTTAAGATTCTGAAGGAGTGCACAAGGTTAACCTACAAGTCAAGAGAAGTTACCACTCGCTGTTAACCTAAAGGTAATCTTTAATGCTTTCTTTTCAATCTCTCATACAGCGACACCACCGGAACCAAAGTAGCTTTAAAAGGTTTGCTCATAAACTCACAGCTGTACTGATTTTGGTGCTCACCAATTCCATTATCATCACCCGTTCCAAGCTAAGGTTCCCCATAGCTTGCACACTTCTCCCCATGTAGATAAACTGGTCAAAAAAAGGGGTTTGAGTCAAAGGGAGGGGCTTCATTTCCTTCCCCTTTTTCTGTGCTAGTTTTCCCCCGTCACAATTTTATGCCACTTTTATACAAAACTACTGTATTCCCAGAGCACTTCTGCAAGAAACTGCATGTTAAAAAGCAGTTAAACTGAAATCTATAGACATGACTTCAAAACTAGGGTTTTCATTACCGCTCCGGTATAAAAATCGGATAACATGGATTACTGGGAGAAGCAGCTTTCATGCAGCGATTTTCAAAGACTAAAAGATGCCTGGTGAAGCTTTGCAGAAGAGCCGAGCCAGCAGCTCCACCACCACTAATCTCCCTGAACTCTGCTCTTAGGCACTGGTAATTTAGTCATTATAACTGAGAGCAGCTTACCTTTCAGGCAGCAATATCACCACTGTGGCAAATCGATGTTCGCAATTCGCCACGCTAAGATCATTTGTAACAGCCTTGGACTGCAAGACCTCACCAACATAGCATGTTGAGGAGTAGGTGGGTTTAAAAAAATAAAATTAAACAGGCAATGGAAAAGCAAAGAAGTGGGAGTCGTTTAATGTCCAGTTCCAGCCTGGGGGTGGTCTGGAGAGAGAGACCATCGTATTTGGAATTCCAGGGTACTATGCAACTAACTGTATAGCAGTACGAATACAGTAACAACACCAATGCAATTGTTAGCACGCTTTCTACAAGCTAAAATGCCTGGGACAAAAATCAACACTGTTGCTTAGCATGGAACAGATTGTGACGTAGGTGCCAGGTCAGTCTCATTAAGGAGAACATTGTGGGCTCGTCTGCCTGTCAGGGGCTACTGACAGGCAGAAGTGGTGGTGCTGAACATAAATTTGCAGCATGCAGCTGCACGATGTATGCTTTTCCTTGCAAAGGTTTAAAGCAGTGTTCCCCAAACTTGGGTACCCAGCTGTTTTTGGACTACAACTCCCATCATCCCTCGCTAGCAAGACCAGTGGTCAAGGACGATGGGAATTGTAGTCCGAAAAAAGCTGGAGACCCGTGTTTGGGAAACACTGGTTTAAGTTACCATGTGAAAGGTGTAGTGTTTTTCCGAAGCAGCGAGGCACAAGAAAAGCACAGATCCACATTCCCCGGCAGCTTAAATTACATTCCTGTATCTATTACCTTTGCCATTTGTTTGGGGTTCACAAACACCTTTTCCAGAGCAGAGAGAATGACGCAGAGAAGGCCGGAAATCAGCATGATCACTCCAATGGCTGTCAGCCAGGAGATGCTGCAGAAATAGCACGAGCTCTCCGTCGAAGTGCACACGACGACATGAACCGCACAGAGCATCAGGCATGTCAGGTAGAACAGCAGAGAGCACAATGGGGAGAGGGGCACTTCCAGTTCCGCCCTGCTGCTTAGAGCTTTTGCAGTACTCAAGAGTAGCAGCACCAGCACCTAGGAGGAGAAAACAAGCAAGAACTTCCCATGAGAGTCTAGAACTCAAAACTGGTGAAAGGAGCAGTTTTTTGGGTTTTTTGACCATTACGTTTCCATCCTGCCTTTCCTCCAATGGCCTCAAGGGGGCGTACCTGGTCCTCCCCACTGCACACCTCCATTTTGTCCTTTCAACAACCCTGTGAGCTGGGCTAGGCTGAGCGATGGTGACTGGCTCAAGGTCACCCAGTGGCCATGGCTGAGTGGGGATTTGAACTCTGGTCTACAATGTCTTAGCCCAACACTCTCGTGCCCCTATACCACTCTGGCTCTTTTTTATATTTAGTTAGGGTCCTGCATTATTTCACATTATGCGTGGCGCAAGGGACAGACCAGACCGGCTGACTTCTCAAACTACCTGAGCAAGACAGCGTTTCTCTGCATCTACTGCTCGTGAGCATTTTGGGAGCAAAGGCAAGACTTGCTCTTACAGCGTTTGAGCCGCAGACTCTATGGCCAGGATCCGACAGGAAAAATACACACACAAAGTATTTTCCCACGCTCATAAGAGTTTCAGGCTTGGGTCTCTCAAATAGCAGCCCCTTCCCAATGCCATGTAGGAAAACAAAACTTTGGAAACTGAGGAGAAAGTCTGCAATCCAGCATGAGGCGTCTTGCACGTACAAGGTTTTCGACGCAAATATAGGCAGCGTGGATCAAGATAGTGAAGCTTTTGCTACTGTCAGAAAAACAGTATTTTTATAAAGGTAAAGGGACCCCTGACCATTAGGTCCAGTCGTGACCAACTCTGGGGTTGCGGCGCTCATCTCGCTTTATTGGTCGAGGGAGCCGGCGTACAGCTTCCGGGTCATGTGGCCAGCATGACTAAGCCGCTTCTGGCGAACCAGAGCAGTGCACGGAAACGCCATTTACCTTCTCACCTATTTATCTACTTGCACTTGACGTGCTTTCGAACTGCTAGGTTGGCAGGAGCAGGGACCGAGCAACAGGAGCTCACCTCGTCGCGGGGATTCGAACTGCCGACCTTCTGATCGGCAAGTCCTAGGCTCTGTGGTTTAACCCACAGTGCCACCCGCGTCCCAGTATTTTTATACTGCCCATATGAAAACCTGAGACAACACATGTAAGGTGCAAGGCCAGGTCAGCAACTTCTGAAGGAAGATCCCCTGCTCATGGCCGATATGTTGCCACCTAAATTTGAGTCAAGAGGCTGGTGCTGTGTCAGCTTGTTTTAGAGCATGAAAGAAGTACTTTCTAAGTAGGTTAACCACCCAACTTGAAAAAGAGATAGTGTAAGTGACTTATTGACTGAACTGAAAATTTTGATGGCCTCAGTACACACAACTGTACCTCCAGAACAATGATGGTTCCCACTATCATTGAATACGTGTCATATTGTGCCACTTGCTTGCTCAAGGAAGAGCTCAGGACCCTGATGGCCTCTAAATACTGCCTGAGAACTTTTTTGCCAAGGTTTCTGAGGACTTCCGAGGTATTCCCTTCCAAATACAGCTTGATCCAACTTCCGTGGGATTTTTCCGCCATCTTAAACTGCTGGAATCCAGGATCTAGTCACAAGAGACATTAAAGCAGACGGAAAGTTATTCGAGGGATCTGCAGAAAGGATTCTTCTTACTTGCATCGAGACAGAAAGGTCTGCGATGGTTCCCTCGCAACCACTGAGTTGCAAACTCCCTTTTAAAAACAGAATCCGAAACACAGTTTGCAAAGAAACCCAAGTAAGTGTTTATGAGCACATGTCCACTTTAACCCACAGTTAAAGCTAACTACTCATTTGTTTTATACACTGTTTAAACTAAATTAAAATAAATAAGGGAGAAGAGCTGCCATTTCCCTCCGCAGGCAGGATTTAAATGAGAAAATTTAAATGCCTCAGCCTGATGTCTGCACTGTAGCAGAAACTGACCAACGGCAGGTTCTGCCTTAAGAGGAGGGAACCATTCCTGACTATTGAGTCACAAGAACAAGAGTTGCTTTTGATCCTGTCTCTCTCCTGTCATGCTACAAAAATCGTATTTCAATCCCCTAACAATCAGAATACAGTGGTACCTCGGGTTACATACGCTTCAGGTTACAGACTCTGCTAACCCAGAAATATTACCTCGGGTTAAGAACTTTGGTTCAGGATGAGAACAGAAATCGTGCGGTGGCAGCAGGAGGCCCCATTAGCTAAAGTTGTGCTTCAGGTTAAGAACAGTTTCAGGTTAAGAACAGGCCTCCAGAACGAATTAAGTTCTTAACCCGAGGTACCACTATATTGTTATTTCTTCAAAGCGGGTTTCCTGTGGGTTAAGAACGTTTCGACAGCTATCATAAAAAGCACAGACATTAACTTACTTGCCTTTTTCATAGGTAGCCATGTTCTCCTGGAGGAGTCTGCTAAGCTGGAACCCATTTAAATGTAAGTACCGCAGCTGTTCTCTCACCGTCTTCTGCTGCACGACAGGCAGCAAAAGCTGCCCGACGCTGTTCCTTGAGATGGGCAAGCCAAGGCCTATGGCCAGCGTGACGGCTAGGTCAGTCTGCTGAACAAGCTCTGGAGGTTTCAGGAGACCTGAGAGGAGAAAGACGCCAGCTAAGACTTCCCCGGTTTGCCTTCCCCAAAATATGATAAATGCAAAGAGGTATTTGCTACACAATCATGTTCCTTCTGATCATAGAACTGTAGAGTTGGAAGGGACCCTGAGGATCATCTAGTCCAACCCCCTGCAATGCAGGAATATGCAGCCAGCCCATAAGGGGACTGAACCTGCAACCTTGGCATTATCAGCGCCACGTTTTAACCAAAACAGATCAAGATTCTCCCCATTATTACCTTCCTAAGAGAGTAAAGTGCTGGAGCCGTTCATAGCTGTAATAATAATAGTAAGAGTAGTAGTAGTAGTAGTAATAATAATAATAACAATAATAATAATAATAATAATAATAATAATATGACACCCTCCTCTAACCTGGTGCCCTGCAGATACTTTAATCACTACACCCAGAAGTTTGATACCTAAGGCTGAGGGGAGTGGTAGTCCGGGGGGGAAAGAAAAGAAAAAGCCAACAGTGGGAAGGGTGATTCCTGACATTTTAAATTTATTATTATTTTGACAAAATAATAAGCATAAATAAATGAGAACAAAAATGTGCACCCCAGCACCAAGGCCATTCCAGTGTAACTATCCAACCTCCCAAAATTTCAACACCTCTTGCGATGGTTTGACGCCTTTCCATTTTAACAGTACAAATTCTACAAATACCTTCCCTATCTCCTCAAAATCATTTCTCCTACATATTCCTTGTCTTACCTTAATGGCACATGTTAATTGATCATTAATAGCTATATACCACAGTTCTTAGTACCATTCTTCCATTTTATATTCACCTTGGCCCTTCCACTTCCTAGCTATAATAATTTGTGCAGCTGTCCTGACGTTATTAATGCTAGGGCTACCACAGACCTGAGACATTTTTAACTCTCTCTTTTTTCTGTCTGTCTGTCTGTCTACCAGGACACATTAAGCACGCCTTTCTAAAGTTGCGTCATTTCACAAGCATTTCGCAAGGGAGCAGCTACTCCTCTGCGGCACATTTTAATAAAAGCAGCTGGATCTCTTTACAGAAATAACAGCACCAGCAAGAGGAATCCAGCCCTTACCCCCGGCCCTGTCGAAGGCAGAGCTGACGAAAAGCAAGGGCGTTCGCACTTCGCCCTCCGAGGATCCCCCGTGGCTCCCCGTTTCGGACATCCCATGATCGCCACACACAACAAGCAGGTGGGGTGAAGTCACCTCTCCCTCCTCCTGCAAAGGAAGGAAATTGCAGAGGGCTTAGTGGGGCGATTGACATACTCCTTTGACCATTTCGTTTCCTTAACTCACAACATCTAAGCTCAGAAAACACAGGCGGTCGTAGTCAAAACCATTTGAGCAGGAACAGGGCACCCATGGCACTGTAGAAGCTGTTGGGAGGTCCAGCTCCCCATGCTGGCTGGGGCAGATGGGAAGTGGAGGCCAACAATGTGTGGAGGGCAGGCCAGGTTCCCCATCTGCAGTTTGAGGAATGGCTGCCATTCAGCCAATTGTTTGTTTTTTATTTATCTATTGGATTTATATACCGCCCTTTGTCATAAGACCTCAGGGCAGTTCGCAGAATTAAATACAGGATAAAAACAAGTAAATACGTAGAACAAAACAGCAAAGCAATACTCCCCCATTCCCAGACACATTTAAAAGGCTGTAGAATATTAAGCAGCCAAAGGGCCAGTTGAAGAGGAATGTTTTTGCCTGGTGCCTAAAAGTATATAATGAAGGTGCCAGGCGAACATCCCTGGGGAGAGCATTTCACAAATGGAGGGCCACTACACTGGTACCTTGGAAGTCGAACGGAATCTGTTCCGGAAGTCCGTTCAACTTCCAAAATGTTCAGAAACCACCGCGCGGCTTCCTATTGGCTGCAGGAAGCTGCTGCAGCCAATCGGAAGCTGCAGAAGCCGCGTCGGACGTTCAGGTTCCAAAGAATGTTCACAAACCAGAACACTCACTTCCAGGTTTGCGGTGTTTGGGAGCCAAAACGTTCGAGTCGCAAGGTGTTTGGCAACCAAGGTACGACTGTACTGTTCACCCAAAAGAAAAAGGCAGAGAGCAGCACCATGGCACATGTAGTTTGTGCCACACAGGACTCTCCCCACCTCCAAAAAGGCACCTATTTCACCTCAAACACTAGAGCAGTTTCAGAGGGCATTTCCTTAATGGCTTCGGAAGTACAGAGAGTCCCCCAACACATCGGGGATTGAGGGAGGATGAAATAATTTCCAGGTCAGGTGGCATTCTCAGATTTGAGCCCCGGCATCACTTTTTCAAGTAACTAAGCCACAAACTGTTTTTTTCCCCTTTTTACACACACCCTGGTAAAAGTTGGCAGTTGGTCCTTTTCCCTTATGGAGCTTTAAGGTCACTCAACACATTTCACTGAAAAAGGTGCAATCTGAGTACCGCAGTCGTGTGTATTACACACAGGTGCCCTTGCGAGAGAGCTGCCATCGGATGTAGCTTCGTGTTGAGTTGTCAGGTGGGTGGCAAACATGGATTTGCCTTTGCATAACGCCTGAAATAGTCATGAATGCCTGAAAACAGCCTTTGCATAATGCCTGAAATTGTGCCACATGCAATGATGACATTTTTAATTGTTATGATTACTCGTATCCTTAGCACATTGGCCAAGATTTTCAAGGGCATCAGGTTAACTTGCCCCAAACCTCAAAGGCGACAGCACCACGAAGGCAGTAAACCTATGTACATTTGCCTGAGAATAAGCCTCACTACATATTGTGGGACTTTCTTGCAAGTAAGCATGCATTGGGACAGGCTGACAAGTGTATAAATGACATTGGATAGAAACCTAAGGCTTCATATGCTGTTCCTACTCTCATGATCAAATTTACATCAATATATATGCATGTCACCTTGGAGAGGAGAGAAGTATGAATCTTCTTGATGATGTTATCCATTTCAGAAAGCTTTGGCCCTATTAAAGGACTGTGCGGTCCACTCAGATGACCAATATGGTCCAGCCCCAAGTAGTGAAGGATGAGCAAATCCCAGTCTTCTCTTTTCATCACATTATCCAAGTGTCTGGTAACATTATCATCAACCTTAAGAGGGAAAGGAAAAGCAAAGGCCGGTTGAAACTCCTACACCATCTTAATTTTTCAAGCTTGCAGTTTATACAGTCTGCAGAATCCAAGGGGAAAAGCTATTCCTGGACTTTATCACACTGCAATGATTCCGATCATTTCATACACAAGAGGGGAAATTGCACACTAAAGGGAGAAGTCAAGGCTGAATGTCTCTCACAGACACGCTCATTTTCTACATACAATGAGCTGTTTTCAACTGGGGAGCGTTCAAACATGATGCCCCTCTCCTCTGGAGTGTTGGAGTCCAAGAAACACTATAGAACAGTGTTTCCCAAACTTGGGTCGCCTGCTGTTTTTGGACTACAACTCCCATCATCCCTAGCTAGCGAGACCAATAATCAGGGATGATGGGAATTGTAGTCCAAAAAAAACCATCTGGAAACCCAAGTTTGGGAAACACTGGTATAGAAGGATCTTTAGGCAGATGGCCAGTTAATAAGAATTAAGTAACCATGTGGACCTAACTGAATTTCTAAGCCTCTAAGCACAGCATGTTGCAGGTTAACTGGTTCTCTGAATCAGAGCACACTCAGCCGCAATCCACAAGACCAGGCTGCCAATCCTCATGCTACCAAAGCAGTGGGAGAAGTTTTAAACTCCTACAACAGACGCAGAGACTATACCTTTCAAAACATTGTTTTAATAATAATAATAATAACAATAATGTCAAGTGCATCAACTTGGGAAGAGCCAGAGATCATGGCACGGTTTTCACAGAGGGAACTCAATCTTTGGCATCTCCAGTTAGAAGGCTCTTATAAAAACCCTTCCAGGAACAGTTGAAAAAGCTAGGCTCTCCCCATTGGCTCAGCTAGGACAAAGCGCCATTTTGTTTCTTCCCTGCCAGAACCATCTCTTGAAGAGACTTCTCTGCCTGGTCATTAACATAACTGTATGAAAAAGGCAATATTCAAGTAAGTTATTTTCCTCTTCTCCCTAGCTTCCTTGTATCTCATGTATCCGTTGTTTTAAAATAAATAAATAGTATTGAGTTCTTTGGTAGAAAAGGCAACATATAAAACATAGTAAATACAAAATTAAAAGGGACCGGAAAGAGCCCTGCCTGAAGTTCTAGAGAACCGTTCCAAGTGGACCAGTTGTAAAAAAGGTAAAGGTAAAGGACCCCTGACAGTTAAGTCCAGTCGCAGACGACTCTGGGGTTGCGGCGCTCACCTCGCTTTAGAGGCCGAGGGAGCCGGCGTTTGTCTGCAGACAGTTTTTCCGGCTCATGTGGCCAGCATGACTAAGCCACTTCTGGCGAACCAGAGCAGTGCACAGAAACACCATTTACCTTCCCGCCGGAACGGTACCCATTTATCTATTTCCACTTTTGGCATGCTTTCGAACTGCTAGGTTGGCAGGAGCTGGGGCAGAGCAACGGGAGCTCACCCCGTTGTGGGGATTCAAACCGCCAACCTTCTGATCAGCAAGCCCAAGAGGCTCAGTGGTCTAGACCACAGCGCCACCCGCGTCCTTTTGGACCAGTTGTACTTGCTGCAAACAGCAATTCCAAAGCCTTCAAGGGTTTGTGCAGGCCAGGGCAGGGCTGAGGAATCAGTGGTCCTCAAGATGATGTTAGACTCCAACCACCATCAGCTGCAGCCAATGCTCAGCAACGATGGGAGTTGGAGTTTGGAATCTTCTGGAGGGCTACAAGCTCTCCATTCCTGAGCTAAAGTAAGGAATGCCATCCTGCCATTTTGTGACAACAACATATGGAGCTTTTAGTAGTTCGTCACAATGGGAAGGCAGGGCCTGTCAATTATTTGACTGCCTCCAATTGCAAAAGAAACCACCAAAAACAACAACGCAGACATGAAAAACATACCCATTTTAGAAATGTGGCAACTAAAACATGCTTTAGAATATCACAGATCAATCCAGCTTTTTTTACTAGGAGCCAATACACAGATCTTTAAGAACACATAGGCAAAAATAAATCAAATTTTCACACAGTAATCATTTGCACACAAACCTAACAATGCAATTTCTTACATCACTGTGCCGGAGCATTTTCTTACCTCAGTGTAGTCCGAGACAAAAAAAGATGTTGTTCCATCATATTCCACAAACTGTTTTGGAAATAATCGGACCCAAGTATCATCACCATAGAAGATTATCCTTTTCCCGGCTGCTTTGGCCTGCTGTATCAAGTTGTCTTCCAGCAAGGCTGGAGAATTGAGATTCATGATGACATCGATGAAACCTGGGATGCTCCCCGTTGTCAGTGCCTGCAAACAGATGCCCCAAAAGCAGAGGGGAAAACATCTTGATATGGTTTGAGAAAAGGACGAGACTGCCTTAGGACAAGGGTACATGGACAGGAAAAAATGTTATTACAATCATCTGTAACAGGCTTGATGAACCAACTCTGAGACACTTAAAAAAAAAACAACCCAGAGAGAACACATCTACACAACTGCCAAGGAAGTCTCTGTTAGATACCGTATTTTTCGCTCCATAGGACGCACTTTTTCCCCTCCAAAAATGAAGGGGAAATGTGTGTGCGTCCTATGGGGCGAATGCAGGCTTTCGCTGAAGCCTGGAGAGCGAGAGGCATCGGTGCGCACCGACCCCTCTCGCTCTCCAGGCTTCAGGAAGCTATCCGCAAGCCTTGCAAGGCCGGTGGGAGTTCCCGCGGGCTCACAAGGCTTGTAGGCAGCAGCCCGCAGCCCCGGCGAGTGTCCGCAAGGCTTGCGTGCCCGGCAGGAGGTCCCGCCGAGCGCGTGAGGCTTGGGGCGGCAGCCTGTCGCCCGAAGCACGGGGAGCCCTCCGGAGGGCTCCCGTGCTCGGGCGAGTGTCCGCAAGCCTTGCGCGCCCGGCAGGAGGTCCCGCCGAGTGCGTGAGGCTTGGGGCGGCAGCCTGTTGCCTGAAGCACGGGAGCCCTCCGGAGGGCTCCCGTGCTTCGGCGAGTGTCTGCAAGCCTCGCGCGCCCGGTGGGAGGTCCCGCCGAGCGCGCGAGGCTTGGGGCGGTAGCCTGCAGCCCGAAGCACGCGGAGCCCTCCGGAGGGTGCCCCGTGCTTCTTGCAGGTGTGCACAAGGCTTGGGGCGGCAGTCGCGGCGGGGGGGGGGAATAATTTTTTTTATTCATTTCCCCCCCAAAAAAACGAGGTGCGTCCTATGGGCCGGTGCGCCCTATAGAACGAAAAATACGGTATGTACACAAGGCTAGCCAATGTGGTATCCTCCAATTGTTGCTGGATTCCTCCCTCCCATCACCCCACAGTCAGCATGGCCGAGGTTCAAGGGTGATGGGAATCTTAGCCTAGCATTATGTGCAAACCCAGAAACAACGGGTTCATTATTCAGTTGTAAGCCAGGATTCCCAGTTCACACACAATGCAAAGCTGAGATTATTTATAACATTTTCCTTCAGTCCGTAGTCCAAATTAACCAGAGGAACAGAGCTTTTCAATGGCATTCTCACTAACCAGTTGAGAGGAGTTTTCAATTAATTTGCTAAAATGAACTGAGCCTGTTGGATCAACTGAGTTTTGGCCACATAATCACCTATAGTTAATGTTACTCTTTGTTTATATGTGGTGTTTTGGCCACAAAGGCCCCAGGTTGCTCAAATGGGTTGGCTCAAATAATACAACTAAAAAAAAATTAAGAAAAGAACATCTTGACATTTTTAAAAATGTGAGAGAAACCAAATGTCATCAAGTCTCATCTGTCTTGTTGTTGTTGTTGTTTAGTCGTTTAGTCGTGTCCGACACTTCGTGACCCCATGGACCAGAGCACGCCAGGCACTCCTGTCTTCCACTGCTTCCCGCAGTTTGGTCAAACTCATGCTGGTAGCTTCGAGAACACTATCCAACCATCTCGTCCTCTGTCGTCCCCTTCTCCTTGTGCCCTCCATCTTTCCCAACATCAGGGTCTTTTCCAAGGGGTCTTCTCTTCTCATGAGGTGGCCAAAGTACTGGAGCCTCAGCTTCAGGATCTGTCCTTCCGGTGAGCACTCAGGGCTGATTTCCTTAAGAATGGATCGGTTTGATCTTCTTGCAGTCCATGGGACTCTCAAGAGTTTCCTCCAGCACCATAATTCAAAAGCATCAATTCTTCGGCGATCAGCCTTCTTTATGGTCCAGCTCTCACTTCCATACATCACTACTGGGAAAACCATGGCTTTAACTATATGGACCTTTGTTGGCAAGGTGATGTCTCTGCTTTTTAAGATGCTGTCTAGGTTTGTCATCGCTTTTTTCCCTAGAAGCAGGCGTCTTTTAATTTTGTGACTGCTGTCACCATCTGCAGTGATCATGGAGCCCAAGAAAGTAAAATCTCCCAATGGGGGCTAGCACCCTACAACTCCGCTCTAGTTGCTCCCGTCACTTTATGACCCTCCGTATGCGTGGAGACAGTGGAAGCGAGGACCAAAGGCAAGACTCTCCCTAGGACTGGCATAGCCCCTTCTGCCTCTTAGACTCCCTGAATCTCTCCTCCCACCTCCTTTCCCCTTGTCTCTGGGTGCCCAGTCTCTTCCCCTTGTCTCTCCTTGGCACCTTCCTCACGGGTTGCACAAAACCCCACATATCACTGGCCCCTTCCCCCAGATCATCATCCAGCTCCCCTGCCTCCTCTGCCTGCACATCCCTCCCCTCTCCTCAGACTTCTGCCCATCCCCAATATTGGACTTGGAAAGATTCCAGCTGTACAGCAAAAACAAGACAAGGAAAAGACACAACAAGCACCGAGTGCCGTTTCACAACACACAAAATTAAAAAGTTGATCAACTGCGCTGTAGCTGTTGTGCATCATTTACAGAATCCATTCACCAAAATTAAAAGAAACCGATACTTAAGACAAATTGTGATGACGGCCACTTTCCGAAGCAGACAATCAATCCTCACAGGCATCTATTTTGGGACAGAGATTGCAATGTCTTTTTTTGGAAACTTCACAGTAAGTTTTAAGGGCACAAGATGAATTAATTGCAACGGCTCATTAAGTTCTAATAACACAGTTCTTGATGTTGTCAGAGTATTTAATTAGAAACTCATTTAATATTAGTACTGAGGAATTATTATCCTGATGCACAAAATAGTAGTCGTACCTTGGAAGTTGAACAGAATCCATTCCGGAAGTCTGTTTGACTTCCAAAGCGTTTGACTTCCAAATCGCGGCTTCTGGTTGGCTGCAGGAAGCTTCTGCAGCCAACTGGAAGCCCCATTAGACGTTCGGCTTCCTAAAGAATGTTCAAAAACCAGAACAGTCACTTCCGGGTTTCGATTGTTCAGGAGCCAAAACATTCAGGAACTAGGCTGTTTGAAAACCAAGGTACAACTGTAGTATGCATTCCTTGCTATAGAGATTCCTGAGAGTTGCATATTTTATTTTGTCTTTAGAATAGAAAAGTTCATTTTATTTTGCCCATTCCTACGTTTCTAACAGCTCAATAAGGCCCCCATCAAGGTCAATGTACTACTGAATTTGACTTTCAGTCTTTAAGCTGTAATTGGTTACAAAAATAGGTGGAAGACTTTCTCTAAATTATTTCTTAACAATTTCCAATTGTGTCCTTTACATTTTGTGTCTATATTTAATGTAAATTGCTTGTATGGTACAGTTTACACATCACCAACAGCCAAACTGTGGCTTACTGGGATTGCGCAAACCTGCAGGCTCCAAGACAGGAACTTGCAGTCCCTTTGCTCCTCCCTGGTCTTCTTCATTCCTGTGCCACACTGAGCCAACCTAAGAGCAAACCTGGGCTGCTTCTTGCAGTTAGTGATGGGAAAGCTTAATTATGTCCCTGGGTTCAGTCAACACACTAAACACAGCCCAGAGTGGTGCGTGAGTAAAAAAAGACGAGGGGGGGGGAGCATTTCAAAATCTTTTGTGAGATTAAAAAATAGCACAGGCAATTTTATATCTGAAGGAGTGCTACCTCCCCTACAGACCAGCCTGGGATTCAGACAATTGGAAGACAACCTCATGGTGGTTTGAGGAGGAGCAGTGAACTCTTGAGGGGGGCTTCTCGGTGGTAGCCCCAATAATGTAGAACTCCCTCCTCAAAGAGGTGCATTGGTCACCATGTTTCTACAGCTTCCATTGTTTGCTGAAGTTTTTATCCTGGTTTGGGAAAATGAAGAATTGGTTTTAGTATCCTCCCTCTATTGATTATTGATTTTAGAGCGATGGATGAGTACAGTGGTGCCCCGCAAGATGAATGCCTCGTAAGACGAAAAACTCGCTAGACGAAAGGGTTTTGCGTTTTTTGAGCTGCTTCGCAAGACGAATTTCCCTATGGTCTTGCTTCGCAAGACGAAAACGTCTTGCAAGTTTGTTTCCTTTTTCGTAAAACCGTTAATACCCGGGGTGCATTGCTTGAAGAGGTGCAGTTGCGACTTGACTTCGAGGAGCAACTCATAGCACGCGGTGTGGTAGCCTTTTTTGAGGTTTTTGAAGACTTTGCTGATTTTTGAAGCTTTTCCTAAACTTCTTTTGCAGCCATTTGGTAAGTTAAACTTTTAAAACTTTTTGGGGGGTTTTTGGATTTTGGGTTGGGGTGTTTGGAATTCAAGGACTTGGTGTTGGGGAGGGGTTTGCAGGAATCTGGAAGCTTGTGTGGTTTTTTCCTGCATTTTTATGATTTTTTGTGACCATTGGGCCACTCTGCTGTTTTTTTAAAAAAAAATCCTGGGTTTGAATTTCTGTGTGGTGGGTGGCTGGGGGAACAGTTGAGGAGGGGTTTGCAAGAATCTGGGAGCTTGTGTGGGGTTTTTTTGAATTTTTTTGATTTTCTGTGACCATTGGGCCATGTTGTTTTTTTAAAAAAAAAAAATCTGGATTTGAATTTCTGTGTGGTGGGTGGCTGGGGGAACAGTTGAGGAGGGGTTTGCAAGAATCTGGGAGCTTGTGTGGATTTTTATTTGAATTTTTATGATTTTCTGTGACCATTGGGCCATGTTGTTTTTTTTAAAAAAAATGTTTTTCTGTCATGTTTAGAAACTTAATTTATCGTTCCTTCAGTTTTTGAAATGCTCTTTACAGTATGTGTGACTTTAAAGAGCACTTAATAAACTCTTGTTGTACCAAATTTGGCTTTGTTTGGACTTTTTTTGACCATAGGAACGCATTAATTGAATTTCAATGCATTCCTATGGGATTTCGTGCTTCACAAGACGAAAAATTCGCTAGACGAAAGAACTCGCGGAACAAATTAATTTCGTCTTGCGAGGCACCACTGTATGTTTTACTGTTGCTTCAATATGCTGAGGCCTACCTTGGGCACTTCTGACAAAGGACAGGAAGTTCAAGCAACAAACAAAAAGAGGTAGTGACACCAGCAATAATTCTCTTCTATACATTTAGCTCAGTTTATCACATCACCCAGCTGAAACTTCCCATGTGGTCGTGCTCCTAAGTGGGAGCCTGCCTTTTTATGTCTTATTTTGTGCAGGGTTTTATCCTTTTGGATGCAAACTAGAGATTTGAAGGTCTGTAAAAAAAATGAGGAGGGGGGAAACTGGAGGGGAAACTGGGGGTGGGGTGGGGGTTCACATGGGCTTTCACATCTCCAGCCAACACCTGATAAAGGAGCCCTTGCCTCCTTACTCTCATTTAAGATACAGCAAAAAAACATATTAGTTAATGCTGCCCCTCAACAATCATATCACCACAATGACACATGTAGATATTGGAGATCTGAGCCTTTAAACAAACAGGCCACCATTAATTCCCAACAGGAATACTCTTAATGCATAGGACCAGATCAATTCTTTAAAGTACTGGGTTGTGTCCAAGGTAGCACTAAATTATTTTTATTTTATTTTTTAAATTTTAAGATCTTTATTGAAACTTAACTTATATACATAATAACCAAAATTCCCAATGATTCCCTCACGTAAAATATAATATCTAAATTACAACAGCTGCATAATTATATACTTAATTATAAAACCCACCCCCCCACCCTCTACAAATTGGAGCCAATTTGATTCCCTCCCTCTCTTTCTTTTTTCCTTTCCTTCTCCTCCTGCGATGAGGCTACATTTTAATATTTTAATGTTTCAATATTTTAATGTTGTATTTTAATTTTGTTTTTAAGTTGTAATCATTCAACTTGTTTTTATTATTGCTTGTAAGCCGCTCTGAGCCCGGCCTTGGCTGGGGAGGGCGGGGTATAAATAAAAATTATTATTATTATTATTACTACTACTTCCCTCCACAGCAATTTGACTTCTTTATATTTCTTTCTACCTTTTCTTCCTTGCATTCTATAAGAAACTGTTTTTGTTAAATTCTGATTTTCCCCCCTTTCTTTATTGGCTTTGTTATTGCTTGCACTTTTTATTCTAAGCCTCTTAGCATGTCATTTTTAGAACAATATTTTGACATATAATCTTCGAAATACTTCCACTCCATTCTTAACTTTTGATTTGATTGGTATCTTATAACTGAAGTTTATTTTGCCAGTTCTATATACTCACTTAATTTGCAAATCCACTCTTCCTTTGTTGGTGTGTCCATTTAGGGGCAATCACTACCTTGGCAGCTGTCGTTGCATATAAAAAGGTAGCACTAAATTATGCACCCCCTACATCTGTTCTAGGAGTTCCCCCAACACTCCAGAACAGATTAGGGGAGGGCACAGGGCACACACATGGGAGGATGGGGTAGCGTCCCACCATGCAAGCAGAAATCCTTGGGCTAATGGGACGTGTTGGTTGCCTGCAACCCATTAAAGCATACAGTGGACACTCGGGTTGCGATTCGGTGCTTCTGCGCATGCGCCAAAACCCAGAAGTAACCCATTCCAGTACTTCCGGGTTTGGCACTGTGTGCAACCCAAAAATGTGCAACCTGAAGCATCTGTAACCCGAGGTATGACTGTATTTCCATCATTAATGTCAGCAGCTTTTATTGATTTGCCTAAGCAAGCTCATGGAGCTCTTACATGCAACCAATTGCACTGTAGAAACACAATTTAGCACCTTTCCTGCTCTGGATCCATGTGTTGTTTTTTTTAAAAAAATCTGCAACAGCTAGTAGTAATATGTTGCTTCCTAAAATGTAGTGACACACAATTAAATCTTTAAGGTCAGTCTTCAGTCTTCATTTGTTCATATTTGTGATATAAAGGTGTTTTATATAACTGGTTTATACTCTTCTGTTTTGTGGAATTTGGATGTCCAGATCCCAATTTGTTTGTAGGTACTTTGTTGAGCTGGAGCTACATACAGCAGCACAAGAAAGCCACAGGATACATCACATAATTCGGATTAAACAATCTGTTTCCCTTTTTTTTAAAAAAAAGTTAGTTTCTAGTCCTCATAGTTGTGAACGTGTGTATGTTTGCAAGTCTTTGGGGAAATGTAGATATAATCTCAGAAAACAAAGGAGTTGCTAAGCAAATTTCCCTAGGGCAAAGAATATAGATAAAATTATACCCTGATCTCATGAACACTTAGCAGAAGTCATTACTGGTTCCGCTCAAGAAACATTTTTTCAAAAACTTTATAAACCATCCACCCTCAATGGGACAACAGGAGATTTTTCATTGTCTGCCCTTCAGTATAACAACAAAGCCAATGGCCAGGATCAAAAGGAGGAACATAAATGTATGAGGACCACAAACACATGCAAAGTTTTGCTAGTTTTCCTCTCAATAGTTGCTGCCGTTGAAGAGACAAGCCTCTGCTCTGTTCAAAAGCAGGGTGCCTCTTAAGCAGTGGAAAGTTCTAAGGGGAAGAAACAGCTAGCAAGACTCTGTCCTGCACAAAGATACCTGACGCTTGAAATTCTGTCCTACACCTACAGTGCTTGCTAACCTGGAAGTCCTCTCAAAAAAGTACAAGCAATTCTGAATCAGTATTAGAAACTCATATATGTAAGCTAATCACCAAATGGCACCTTAAACCTAGGTTACGGACACAACAATGGAATATTTAGGGGCCATTTTTAAATGAGATGTATTAATATTTTTATGATTATTAATTTCATTTCTATATAGCTTTGTATTTTAAAGAAAAAAATCTCAAAGGACATTATACCACATTGAAAAATTAAATAAAACCCAGAATAAAAGAAATTCAAGCTTCAAAGATAGATTTCAGATCCTTCTCTAAGTGACATTCTGCTTTCCCCATATTTATTTACTTGCTTAACTTATATAGCTGTCCCATAGCAGACGTGCTCTAAGAAGGCAGGGTGGTGCAGTGGTTAGAGTGTCAGACTGGGACCGGTGAGATCAGGGTTCAAATCCCCACAAAGCCGTGAAGCTCACTGGGTGACCTTGGGCCACTCACAGCCTCCTAAACCTACCTCACAGGCTTGTTGTAGGGATTAACTGGGGAGGTGGTAAACCATGTACTCCTTGGAGAAAAAGGTGGGATATAAATGTAATAAATAAGTTATTCTGCTTACCTGCTTTAGAAAGCTGGACAGGCCAGCCAGATGGCGATGTCAGTCGTCAACATGGCAGCCAGAGATCTCCACATGGCCGCAAACAGACCCGCACTGGTTGCAAAACACACCTGACACCCGGCTAATTTCTAACATTCTTCTGAAGCACATGTCCAAATATCACAACTCACCTTAATTCGAGGCATGGTGACTGTAGGTGGCTTGGCTTCCGCTACAAAACTATGAGATGTTCCTCTTTCCACCAGCTGGGTTGTGTAGGGCATGAACCTTTTGCCTTTCGAGCCAAACACAAAGTCATCTCTCAAGGCATCAATCAGTACTATGACAGCTTTTTTAAAGAGAGGGGATGGCACCTTCGTCCAGTTGGAAGAGAATCCTAAAATATATTTGAGACATGTATGAGTCACCAAGTCAAGTCAAGGGTTGGTTTTCAATGTAAATACTATCCCCAGCGGTCTGCCTTGCTGCAGAAAGTGGGCAACCTGCCAGCTCACTCCCTACTCACTTGCCCTCCCTCTCTCCTGGGCTACGTGATGGGTAGTGGTTGTGGGGAAACAAAGGAAACTGCCTTATACAGTCATACCTCGGGTTACAGACGCTTCAGGTCGTGTGTTTTTGGGTTGTGCACCACACTGAACCCGGAAGTACCGGAACGGGTTACTTCCAGGTTTCGGCACTTGCACAGAAGTGCTAAATCGTGCTTTGCGCATGCGCAGAAGCGCCAAATAGCAACCCACATGTGTGCAGACGCTGCGGGTTGCGAACGTGCCTCCTGCACGGATCACATTTGCAACCCGAACGTCCACTGTAGTGGGTTAGACCACTGGGTGCATCTAACTCAGTACTGCCTGGCTGTGGCTTTCCTGGGTTTCAGAAAAGGCTTAATCCGAGGGCTCCTTGGAGGTTGCTCCTGGGACCTTCTGCATGCAAGGCAGAGCCTCTTTTCATGGGTGTAGACAGGATTTATGTTGGGAAGGGGGCAGGACACTCACCTGTCATCACCCTCTCTCTGGCTCTGTCTAGCAGATTCAGAATGAAATGTCTCAACAACAGTTCGACACGGCAGGTCTAAAACTGAAGGCTTGATTTACATGTTTTATGTGTTTTCATCTTATGCTGTTCTACTGTAACTGTGAGCATGAGTAAGTGTACCCTCTACTTTGGCAGTTTGCGGGACACAGGTGGCGCTATGGTCTAAACCAATGAGCCTTGAGGGCTTGCCACTTGGAAGGTCAGCGGTTTGAATCCCCTCAATGGAGAGAGCTCCAGTTTCTCTGTCCCAGCTCCTGCCAACCTAGCAGTTCAAAAGCACACCAGTGCAAGTAGATAAATAGGTACTGCTGTGGCAGGAAGGTAAGCAGCGTTTCTGCGCGCTCTGGTTTCCGTCACAGTGTCCCGTTGCGCCAGAAGTGGTTTAGTCATGCTGGCCACATGACCCGAAAAGCTGTCTATGGACAAACGCCAGCTCCCTTGGCCTGAAAGCGAGATGAGCACCGCAACCCCATAGTCACCTTTGACTGGACTTAACTGCCATGGGGTCCTTTACCTTTTTACTTCGACAGTTACGCTATTACCTATCTAGCATGTTACATTTATGTAAGATAAAGGTAAAGGGACCCCTGACAATTAGGTCCAGTCGTGGCTGATTCTGAGGTTGCGGCGCTCATCTCACTTTTTTGGCCGAGCGAGCCGGTGTACAACTTCTGGGTCATGTGGCCAGCATGACTAAGATGCTTCTGGCGAACCAGAGCAGCACACAGAAACACCGTTTACCTTCCCGCCAGAGTGGTACCTATTTATCTACTTGCACTTTGACATGCTTTCAAACTGGCAGGAGCAGGGACCGAGCAACGGAAGCTCACCCCGTCACGGGGACTCGAACCGCCGACCTTCTGATCGGCAAGCACTAGGCTCTGTGGTTTAACCCACAGCACCACCCATTTATGTATGGAGGTGCTTTTATGCTGGCCCCTGACCGTAATAAGGACTTGGTTTAGATTGGACAACAGTTGTTTTAAATCCCTTTCTTTTGCCCCCAAGTTCTCAGGAAAACCTGTCGAAATCTTTTTACTTATTTCTACTTGTAAGCTATTTTCGATTATTATCTTGATTTAGGGGTGGGGCAGCTACCCCGCCCACGCCTCTTTCCCATGAAAAGGGGTGTGGAGGGACGAACTCCCGGCTTGGGCGATGAGAAAGAGGCCGCCCCCCGTTGTTTTCAAGCGTGCAACACCCCACAAGGCCTGGAAGAGACGATCCCCACACCTTTCCCGCCCCCCACGCCGCCAGGAAGGAGGCAAAGCGCTTACCTGTGGGAGGCGGCTCCGCCGGCGGCCCGGCAAGCGCCCCGCTCCTAGGCAGCGACCTCACCGGCACCGGGAAGAAGCCCCTGAGGAAGAGCCCGACGCCCAGGGCCTGCACTAGCAGGCAGGCGGAGGCGAAGACCCCCGAGCGCAGCCGCATCCTCCGGCTCCAGCGCGGACAGGTAGAGCCGGAAGACAGGTGAGTTCGCGAGGCGCGCCTGCGCACACCTGCGCCGCTTCCGACGGGCCACAACAATCGGGGAAGCCCGGAGGGAACTCTCGGCAGCTATTGGCTGCCGGCTGACCAATGCGTGGCCTGGCCTCTACGCAAGACGCCTCCTATAAGGAAGGCGTTGAGGCAAGAGCCAATCCCGAGGGCGGTGGGGAAGACTACATTTCCCAGAAAGCCACTGCGACGGAGCTTTTACGTGCGTTAAAGTGCGTCTTACCACATATAATCCAGTGCGGGCCAAGCTCTCAGGCAAAGTGGGCCGCGAGGGGCCACACACTGAAGTAAATTTCGGCACCGCAAATTAAAGTGTTTGCAATACAGTTCATATTAGTTAACCTACACAATACGCGTAATTGAATAGATGAAATTAAATACGCAAATAACAGCATCAGTAGCTTTATTTATTTAAACAAAATGAATACACAAGCGGATTTGTAAACAGAGCCTGACTTTGCTCCCTCTTGTGAGGGACGGGTATTACGGGACCCCTGAAACTGCTCAACACTTGGGAGACTGAGGAGGGGAACAAATAACAGTATATTTGTTATTAAATAAATCATCCAGAAATGTTCACAGATTCTGCTCTGACTCCCAGGAAGTGTAAGGAAGGAGAAATGCCATTCTCAGCAGTTTAAGACCAAACAGAAAACAAATACTTTACGTACAAGGAAGCAGAGAAAATCATGTTCTTCTTATGCATTAACTTGATTGGAGATAGATGGAGCTTGTGCTTTCAATGGCCCATTGCCAGCATTCTTGTACAAACAAAACATGACAAGACTGACAGAAAATGAGTCAACAGCCCAATAGTCTCCCCCCCCAAAAAACACATTTTAAAGGGAATAGGATGTCAATAAACTAAACCAAAGGCATGGTTAAAAAAATAACATTTTTGCCTGGTGCCTAAAGGTGTATAATGAAGGCGCCAGGCGAACTTCCCTGGGGAGAGCATTCCACAGACGGGGAGCCACCACAGAGAAGGCCCCTTCTGGTGTTGCCACCCTCCGGACCTCTCCAGGAGGCGGCACACGAAGTAGGGCCTCAGACGATGATCTCAGGGTTTGGGTAGGTTCAAATGGGAAGAGGCGGTCCTTGAGGTATTGCAGTCCTGAGCCATTTAAGGCTTTATAGGTCAAAACCAGCACTTTGAATTGGTCCCGGAAACTAATTGGTAACCAGTGCAGTTGGGCCAGGATTGGTGTAATATGCTCAAACCATCTTGCTCCAGTGAGCAACATGACTGCTGAATTCTGCACTAGCTGAAGTTTCTGAACCGTCTTCAGAGGCAGCCCTATGTATAACTCACTGCAATAATCTAATCCTGAGGTTACCAGAGCATAGACAACAGTAGTTAGGCTATCCCTAGGGGCGTAGCTGGGCCACCAGCCGAAGCTGATAGAAGGCACTCCGGGCCACTAAGGCCACCTGAGCCTTGAGCCAACAGCAAAGGATCTAGGAGTACTCCCAAGCTACGAACCTGCTCCTTCAGAGGATGTGTAACCTTATCAAGAGCTGGTGATCTCCCACCCATCTGGTCTAGGGAACCACCCACTAACAGTGTCTCAGTCTTATCTGGATTGAGTTTCAGTTTGTTGGCTCTCATTCAGTCCATTTCCGAAGCAAGACACTGGTCCAGCACTTCTACCGCCTCACCTACAGGTGTAAAGGAAAAAAGAGCTGAGTGTCATCAGCATACTGCTTACAACATACTCCAAAACCTCTGGATAACCCCATCCAGCGGTTTCATGTAGATGTTAAACAATGTAGGGGATAGGAATGAGCCCTGCGGAACCCCACATTGAAGGTTCCATGGGGCTGAAAAGCATTCCCCAAGCAATGCCCTCTGGGAACGACCATCCAAGTAAGACTGGAACCACCGCAAAGCGGTGCCACCCACTCCTAGTTCAGACAGTCACTCCAGAAGGATACCATGGTTGATGGTATCAAAAGCCGCTGAGAGGTCGAGAAGAATTAACAGGGACATGTTTCCCTCGTGTCTCTCTTGACAGAGGTCATCGTACAGGATTACTGTTATGTACAGAAGTTTTCACCCTGGGCCAGCAGGGGGATACTGTAGATAGTTATGCAAATGAAGGATCGAAAGTGACGTTCAGTGATTGGATAGTTTGTATGCAAATGAAGGATCGAAAGTGACGTTCAGTGATTGGCTAGTTACAGAAAATGGTTACTGTTGCATTCAAGTGGAGCTCTATATAAGCAGGCTGACTGAGCTCCTCAGTTCAGTTCTGTTCCAGCTTACAAATAAAGAGCTGCTTTGGAAGAATCGCTGTGTCGTCTGATATGTTCGCCTACAACCTAACAATTACCAAAGCAGTTTCTGTGCCAAAACCAGGCCTAAACACCATTTGAAATGGATCCAGATACAGTTTATTCCAAAAGCACCTGGATCTGGTCTGCAACCACTCACTCCAGAACCCGGCTCAGGAAAGGGAGATTAGCAACTGGCCGGAATTAGTTAGGATTTCGGAATCTATGGAAGGTTTCTGAAGGAGTGGTTTTACCACTGCCTCCTTCAAACAGGCAGGGACCTCCCCCTCTCGTAAAGAGGCATTGACCACTTCCCTGGCCCAGCCAGCTGTTCCCTCCCTGCTGGTTTTATCAGCCATGAGGGGTAAGAGGCTAGAGCGCAAGTGGTCGCCCTGACTGATCCAAGCACCTTGTCCACATCCTCGAGCCTTACCAACTGAAACTCATCCAACACCACAGGACTAGACTGTGCCCTGGACACCCCATGAGATTCATCTGCCATAACAGCTGAGTCAAGGTCTTGGTGGATGCAAGCGATTTTATCCTCAGAATGCTTTGCAAACAAGTCACATCACAACAAGCTACCATTGGTTCTACCACCTCCTTTGGGCCAGTCTGTAAAAGGCCCAAAGGAGGGGGAAAGCTCTGCTGGATGACATATTAAGGACACCATGGAGGCAGCAAAGTATGCCTTCTTTGCTGCCTTCACTGCCACTAGGTAGGCTCGGTAATGAGCCCTTACCAATGTTTGGTTGCACTCATTCGGCTCTTTCCTCCACTTACGTTCAAGCCATCTCCCAGCTTGTTTCCTCGTCCTAAGCTCTGGAGTATACCGGGGGGTCAAAAAGGCTCCACAAATTGGAAGAAAGTGCTCAGGGGCAATCGTGTCTGTTATGTACTGAAGTTCTTACCCTGGGCCAGCAGGGGGATACTGTAGATAGTTTTCACTCAGGTCCACGTATGCAAATAAGGGATCAAAAGTGACGTTCAGTGATTGGATAGTTACAGAAAATGGTTACTGTTGCGTTCTAGTGAAGCTCTATATAAGCAGGCTGGCTGAACCCTACAGTTCAGTTCTGTTCTGGCCTGTGAATTAACAAGAGCTGTTTGAAGAATAGCTGTGTCGTCTGATATGTTCACCCACAACTTAACAGTGTCAATAGCCCAAGCCATTCGGATGTTCCAGAGCTTGGCCAGGGCTTCGATTACATGCAAACAATGCTCATCGGTTGACACCATCCATGCTTCTCATCATTTTAATTTCAAGAAACAGTAACTGTCTGCAGGGCCGGATTTAGGTTTGATGAGGCCCTAAGCTACTGCAGGTAACGGGGCCCTTTATATGTCCAGCTGTCCTTTGTCAACAACAAATTGTCGCTGTTTTTCGTGTTGAATATATGCCATGCAACCAGTCCATGCAGAATGTAGGCACCCTATATATAGAAATTAGCAAACCAGTGATATTTTAGGGAGCGGGCTAGCAGGCGGGGCCCATTATTTACATCATTGGAGCCTACACAACACAAAACACTGTTGCTGTTGTGATAGGAATTTTATGGTTTTAGATATATGGCAACGTTCATAACCACACGTACATAGATCAACACAGGAAGGCCAACCTGGAACCATTTTGATTCCTAAACTGAGCAAATGTTTCTCTGCATGGTAAAAATGGAAAAGCCTCCCCATTGTCTCTTCCTTCACAAATCCTGTCTTAATCTGTGTTTGAATAAGGGTGTGAGCCTTATCATTACAAAAGACTGCCAAGGCTCCCCAAGAAACCCAAGCAAGTAACCTGCCAGACAGGAAATAAACAAAGCGACAGGAGAAAACAACATGCAAGTGTTCTGTTTTAGACCACCTTATCTGAGGGGTGGTCTTAGGTTACACCCCTTCTGTGATGAATGCATAATGTTTCTGGGGGTGGTCTTGATCTAGAGGATGGGAATTTCAAAAGTCTTTATAAGCCCTTGCATAGCATTTTTGTGGGTCCTCTTCCTCTCCTGCGTGTGAGGGGAGTACCCTGTTGCAACAGATTAATAAAGATCAAGCTTACTAGCTGCTTTGCTTCTCAATATTCTCTGGTTGGCCTCTGTTATTTTCTCCTACCAATAGGGAACCTATGTAAGGACTCTATATGGGCTCTTGGATACCCCATAAGGGAAAAGGGCATATTTTTATTTACAACACTGTATGTAGGTTTTATTTTATTTGTTTTTTATCTTATACTTTGGAAATGTACATCCAGGTGTTTTTTCCTTTAAATTTTTTAGGGCACCCAAGAGAGTGGGGCCCTAAGCTATAGCTTGTTTAGCTTATACGTAAATCTGGCTCTGACTGTCTGCAGGTTTGGACCCTCAGTGACTTTCAGTGCAGCTTTGGACAAAAAAGTGGGAGGGGGGATCACATTTTCTCCCATGTTAAAAGAGATCATTACAAAAGGTCCCTTCCCCTCCCCTCCTTTTCATCTCCCCACGACACTTTTCTTCGGCTAATTTACAAAGTGACAAGCCTGACAATCCTTTTTAGCTTTCCTTGGCTTCAAAGTTTGTTTTAATTTCTACAAAATCTCTCTTCAGTTACCTTTCAAAGAAAAAAAAAGGCCTCTGTCAAAACTCTTGGCTGCTGGCACTGCAAAGCTCTTTGCTCCCCCCACTGCCTTTCTTTTAAATTCAGCTGTGACTGAAAAGGTGACTATGAGGAAATCAGTTCTCTTTGAAGTTGGAGCTTGGGATATGCACCAAACTGTGAAGCTTTTAAAATAGAAAGTTGGTCGTTA